CACACTTCCGGCACGTGATCAATATTTGCTAATGAAAAATTCATGAGACAATTGGACCAATCAGAACCCTCAGATCTCCAAGTTATGTTTTGTTGGCTCCAAATAGCGACAAAAAAGTTCGGGAAATCAACTGAAATTTGTGACTGCTGCAGTAAAGATATCTTCAAAATGGTAGTTTCCTGGCAGATAGAACACATGAATGTAGCTGAAGATAATTCTAACCTTTAAGGTTGTATAGAGACAAGAATGAAGCCACTGGAAGGTAAGTAACTTAAAATAGACTTGAACTGTGAACCGATCTTACATGGTTGAAAAACAAAGATTTCTTTGATTCCCCTTTCGTTTATTTTACGATTTGTTCATGAACCACATAAGTGGATAGAGTATGTGTATTGATTGTCAGACAACTTGATAAATTTCTATTTTTGCCGTACTTTCCTATAGGTTTATCTTACAAGGGTAAAATGAAAATAAGCTAAAGTTTTTATCTCTTTTAAAAATGGCTGTCTTCTTGAAGAAATTATCCATCGATGAGAAACGTGCAYGACTGTAAAACGTTACCTGAAACTYCATGTATTACATTCACTACCATAAAGTATAAAATCATGTATTATGTAGACAGCTTTCCAAGGCGTTAAAAAATGTCGTGTCATAACGCACCGACAACAAGAGGAAATGTAAGCTCAAATTAACATTTCTATAAATTTATTGTTTTCCTCAAACACAAAATTACTGAACTTAGTATGTTGTATAAAGGAAATGGTGTAGTGTCCAATCTCTTGCTAAAATTATAACATTACGTAGAGCACAACTTAAATAACACTTGTATAGAATTTTTATTAGATATCCCACAAATACTACAAGCTAAGGATTTTTTTTAATTTTAAAATAAACATTAAGAATTATTTTTTCTTTTTGTTTTGAATGGCCTCCTTGTTTGATGTGGGGTTTTATTTTATTTTAGAAAACACAGAGAGATTAGATTTATCATGTCTATTTTTGCCTGCATTAATTAATTGCACATGGAAATCATGCGTCCACACAATGAAGACTATGTACAAGATGTCACTCAGTAGAGCCTGTGGTATCATTGTATTGAACTCAACAATATGAATGCATAATGATTTGATTGATAAGATAAGGGCAAAAGATATGAATTTGTAAAATGATGGAAGCAAATAAACTACAACTAAAGGTTACCATGTTTACTCATACATAACTCATTAAAAATTCCATTCCTGCAAATGATGAAAATTCAGATGATCTTTTATTTAACAATAGCGCAGAATGTCGAGAAATTGAAGTAATATTATATATAAAGRTTGATTTATCTTGAATTCATTTTGYTTTGATCTATATCAATAACAATTTAACACAAAGGAAGCTAAAAAAGTAGCTAAAAATAGTAAGACTGCATTCCTATGTTCTTGCTGTGATGATTCGATCTATTAAATACTACTTTAATAATGTGGTTGTGATACAAAAGGCATAGTCACTGATTTTGGGATCATCCAACAATAGTAATATTCTTGGATGCTATATTACATGTTTGAAACATGTATGACACTATGACAATATTTTGGGTTACCCAACAATTGTAATAACACGATATAGAAATGAAAGAAAGTTATAGTGCTTAGAAGGAGGCAATTCCGGGAGAAGTCCCTTAGGAATAAATTCGGAAAAATTAATTTCCGACCTCGCTGGGATTCGAACCCACGACCTTCGGATTGTACACCGATGCTCTACCAGCTGAGCTACAAGGCTACAATATTTGTAATAACAGTGTGTTTTCCTTATTGTTTCTTCCACAGTTGCAAGTATAGCTGATACAGAAGGWGAGATGGAGTGTGAGCTACATTCCAAGGAGTTCTTTGTACAGGTTGGGTTGCTTATAGTAGAGGGAAGGACTCCTCAGCATTCTGAAAGAGGAAGAATTGAAGGAAAACACTGTGCTTCCTTAAAAGGAAATACAAGTCATGTTTGTGAGAAGAAAGACAAGGAGGTATATCAGACTTTCTATCAAAAATGTTATTTCTTTATGGCAAAAATAGTGAAAAGACTTTATAAGATTCCAGTAATCACATCATAGGCAAYGCAGACAGAAGGATTGGGTGGGGTATTTACTAGGGAACAAAAAATTAGATAACCCGACTTATTAGACATCAGATCTCTCYCCTTCCTACTTTATTTAGAAAATGGTGCAATTCCACTTAGAGCGGATTTCGTATGAGTGGGACACCATTACTGCACGGTTACCACACAGTTACCGGACCTGGCCTGCACAATTTTTGTGAACCAATGGAGCACTAGAATTTGCTTACAGTACAATTACGGTCACAGTACAGTACCGTCCGTTTCCCACTCATACGAAATTGACTAAATTGCCATACATTCTTGCAAAATTTATATATCTGAGCAACTAGTACTGCCCTACTTGGTCTGTAGTGAGAAGTTGACTTATTAACGTAAGGGAAACAAATATCGATGATGGTATATAGCTAAGTAATCATAATGATTCCTTTGTACAGTGTGAAGAGGCACTTTCATGGAGCCAGATGATGGAGACTCATTGGCTTAGTATGAATCCGGTTTTGATTGATGTATTGGTGCAATTGACAAAAAATCCAAATACTACTATATTACTTGAGCAGTGGACAGTATCCGTCATAAGTACCAGGTAATATACACTGCCACTCTGAATTAAACCAGAACATCCCAAAGCCATGTTTGTTCAAAAATATGCTTAATTTGTAACTATGTTTCTTTAGTAACAACCMCAGCACAAGTGGTAGCCAGTTACTTCAAGCTGTGAGGTCACATATTCATTTTTCTCAATTGAGTGCATGGTTAAGTCTGTCCAGGGGAGYCATGCCGTACAGTATCAAATACAGGTAAATCAACATTTCAACCAGCTGATAACTACATAATATCTACACCAGACTTTATGTGTTTACTATCATCCACCAGTTGATGTGTTTTACTCAGAGGGAAGATTGATTGATTTTATTTAGAAATTCAAATGATTTGTGGAAATATCCATTAGCTGTAATTACAAAAGTCTTTTCAGTCTTTTGGTCTGTATTAGTTTTCATAAAAGAAAAATATGCGTATCTATGGAAACCTTCTTATAAAATRAAATCTCTTTTTTTCAGGATGAACAATCAAGACAGTTTCTTCATTGAAGAGCCTTCTTTACACATATTCCCTTTCGCAAGTTTACCTGGTCAACGATCACTACAAGTTACTGTTAAGTCGCTACCGCGATGTAGTATGCAAGARCTAATTGATGCTTTAGACACATCTAGTGAAAGTATTGTAGATACACGATCACCTTTACGTAAAAGAACTTGTTTAAAAGATGTTACTAGTAGAAGTGACAGAACTTGCTCCATAACAACTGCAAAGAAAAGTCTGAACGTTTCATGCAGTTCACGATGTGACAAACAAAGTGATTTAGAAAGTGAGATTTTACCATTAGAAAATCTAGGAAATGGTTGCACTTCAAAAAGTGATAAAACCAATGTAGATAGTTACGTTTTGAATTTAGGAGCTTCTTGTTCAAATTGGGAATCAAATGGAATTGGGAATTTGAATGATCGAATAGAAAAACTTGGAAGGGAGATTGATCAAATTGAAAGGACTATCCATCAGACTGACTCAAAGTTTTCTGCTAGTTTAAGTAAAGTATTGAAAAATTCGGGAAAAGATGAGTGTCAAGGTAAAACGTTAATCAAAGACTCAATGTTTGACAAAAAAACGAATACTACTTGTGAAGAAGGGAAAAATTGGAAGTCAAATGACATGACTAAGATRTTGCTTCAACGAAAATTTCGCAGTCTCAGTGAGCAAGGCAGTTTATCGACAAACAATGGAGCAGCAAGTAGCAATGAAGCAGCTTGTAGCAATGAAGCAACTTGTAGCAATAGAGCAGCTTGTAGCAATGGGGCAGCTTGTAAACAGGTGAGACGTCAAAAAAAGTTTTCTTACGGTTGTTATGGTTACTTCCTTTAGCTTGCATAGAAGCCATAAGGGGTTTGGGGAGAGCCAACCCTTCCTTTCCCCCCTCCCCATTCCCCTCTAGGACACTGCACAGAATATTTACATCATCTATGACGGAGAACCACTGTGGTATTAACCCTTGACCTTACTGACTGTGTTATGTTTATGTCTAGACCATGCCCTTTGATCGTCACCAGTGCCCTACTCGACAAGGTACCGCATCAAATTCAAGTGATGTAGACATCCATGCCATAAAACAACCGGTTGACAGAGCCTGTTTTCGACGGTCAGTTCAATTACCTATCGGCGCATGTACAGAACCAGTGTTTAATCCTAAAACTGGACTTCCTGTGTCGTCTAGTCCTGTAAGTACCTATGGGAATTTAAATAAATCCAATCATCCAATTGTACAGCAACTGGTTTAATATCAACTGGTCATATTTGTTGGCGTTCTTAGATAAAATATATGCCAGGCTTTCAGTGTAGGAAAGAGTTGAGTGTAGGAAAGAGTTGGAAGAGAAAAGAGTGGAAATCTTCGAATTTGCGAAGCGCCGCTCATGTGGTTTAGATTAGATAAACKAATTTTTAAGTTAAAGTATAACTCTTAATTTGTTTATCTTCTGATCTATGAGACTACTCACTATTTTGCTGTTACTGCCCACAGGCGCCATTACGTCGATCTACTAATGAACTTTACGAAGATACGACGGACTTCACCGAGTATGTACCGAACAATTAGCTRTGACGTAGTACTGACTGCTTGATGCGAGATGTCTGTTATTGGTTGGTTTTAGGTTGTCGGTTTAGGCAGTCTTTGATAATGATTTTTTCTCCTCCCCATTTATTTAGTGGTCTCTCCAACAAAGTCGACTACAGAGAGCTGTCAAAACTGTTAAGCCGAAGTGCGCCGGCGTCAACAACGCAGAGTTTACTGGTCAATTTTGAGGTGAGTTAACAAAATAACACAAGACAACACTGATAACATTTCGTCTATTACTGCTAAACTCTTCAAAAACTAATAATATTTATGTTGTTTTCCAGGAGTCAGTTTTGAATGGAAGAATGGAACCAGTTGGGACAGTCGAGGTAATCAGTATAAACGTTGCCGGCAATGAGTGCTTTTCTAGTTTCCAATATCTTAAGTCTCATTCAGTTCGTTGATTGTTACTCAAACGATAAACGTGTTGTGCTTCTTTAACAGGGTTTTACTGCAGAACTAAGTGCGAGTGGTTCATTTTGTCCTCGACACGTCAARTTGCCAATCATATCGTGTTTTTATAGGTTATCAGATGATGATGCCCCATCTCCATATATGGTAAGTATATTGCGCAATTATTTCTAAACCTCCARAGAGCTGTACTAACCTGTTGCTCTGGTTACAGGGTTATATCAACTTGAAGGATGAGCCGTTAGGAAGACGAGGATATCATGTACCTAAGCGAGGAACCGTACAGTTGGTACGTTAAAACAAGTCCTATAGAAACCTTTATATATCGGCCACTGGACCATGACTGCCTCTCTATAACGACTGTAACCGAACGGCTGGTCGTTTAATATGTCGATCGCAAACCTTGAGATTTTGTTTCAGCAAGCCATGAGGACATCAATCAATGTTTTTGATTTTTGCASAACACCTTCTGGTTATTTACAGGCAAATCTTTTAATACTCACATTGCAAATGTCACGTCATAGGAATATATTGAAATCTATTGTATTAAATGCAAAAATTCATAGAATATTCACACACTGTAACGATAAGATTTCTAATTTTGTACGTTTTTTATTAATTAAAATTAATTTAGCATTTAAATGGGGTGGGTGTCACCCGGTTACCCCTTTAAATACGCCCCTGCTATCTACTATTCAGCAAGATGGCTGTTTGACACTTTCTGATGATTTTAKAGGTCGGTTTTTCGGTATTGCTCTTATTTTTTGTAACAGTTTACGGTTGTAAAGATGTCGCTCAGCTGCCGAAAATCGCCGATTTTGTTGTTTACGATTTTATTACATTCAATAAGAATATCGGAAAATAATGATTTTTTAAACCGGCGGTTGACGCGAAAAAATGGGGGAAAGGAACGGTTTTGCGGTACGACTCGATAGCTCCACGTAATACGACAACAGCTTAAAACGAATATCTCAATAAAACGATCCMCTCTATAAAACGAATGCCTTATAAAAACGAGCACCTCTATAKATTGAAACGATCTCTGCATGTAAAACGACCCGTGCATCTTCTGTAAAATTAGGAAAATGTCAGGATATTTCCTTGTGYACACTGCTGACAAACACCTTTTCTTTCAGACCGTGTTTAATCCCAACAAGACTGTGGTCAAAATGTTTGTGGTATTATATGATTGTTCTGACATGCCACCAAAATCCCAGACCTTCTTAAGACAGAAAACGTATTCGGCATTGAAAGGAAACGTCGTTAAGAATGAGGTATGTAGATCGGGAGAGAATCAATCAATGTTCGGCTGCGAAAACGTGAATTAAAAGTTTCGGTCTTGTTTATATCGTTACAGTGTAATTTTACTGTTTTTATTTGGCTTTGTTTTTTTGTTTGTTTGTATGTATTTGATTGGTTGTTGAGTTGTTTGTTATTACGTCACTTTAAGTTGGTTGCTTCAGTTCCTTGGCTGGTTGGGCGYTTCTTTTTGTGTGTTTTCGAAACTTGAAGTTTCAAGTGGAATAAAAATGATTTTAATTTTGTTCACAGGTTCAACAGACTTTACATTATCTACTACATCTGAGGTAATATGCCTGAATACACACAATAAAGCCGTGGGTGTGTGATTAGCATACTTGTGGGTAGSCATCATTATGGAGCTCTTCCTGTCTTATCGGAAGGGAAATGTTCAGTACCGAGATAAAGACGTGCTGTCATTGAATTCTGTCGATATCACGGTCTAAATAACATCAMATCTTTATATTATGTCATGTGAAGACACGTTTGTCGACAGAATGGCTCAAAAAGTTTTCATTTTTTTTTTCAGTTTTCAAGTAGTCTTGTATATTAAAGCACGTACCCTTTATATCGCGCTCTCTGATTGGTGCATTATACCGGGGGTACATACAGTGCACGCAGGCTTTACAATTTAGCATCATGTATGGTTTAAATGCCTTATCCGATTACATTAAGATTTTAGAAAATGATAATGTGTTTCCGAAGACACTTTAGGATTTCGGCGACAGAGGTTTAGTACRTAAAGAGTATTTTTGCAGAGTAAATATAAAAAAAGAACCCGATATATTATTTCAAAAAAATCAGTTATTAAAATATATCTTTTTTTATGGTTGTCTAGTGCTTCAAAATGTCACTAAAAACAATTCTCAGTTGMTTAAATTATATTGCTGTCGCTGAAAATTGACCCGTTTTCTCTAAATTGAAATCGCAGTTGCCGAAAGTGAATTGACCTTTTTGACTTTATGAACCTCGTTTTACATTCATTATTTCTTTATTTCAGGTTTGCTAGCTCAAAGTCGGGTAAAATCTACCTCCACACGGATATAAGAGTTATATTTGCACGTCAACCACCAGATTTAGGACACTTATATGAACTATACACAATAACAGATGGGCCTACAGACCCTAAATATACTAAGAGACACCATGTAGTAATGGATCCTGAGTGTTAAGGACACAACAGATGGGCCTACAGACCCTAAATACATTAGGATCTCACAAAGTGTTAGACAAGAGTATTGAAGGACTGGTTCAGCTTGATCCAGCGCAACATGGCAAATAGTAAAATTATCTGCATTTCTTTGTTTGCAGAAGGAAAATGCACAAATGAAAATAAATATTGCATATCTCCCTGTTAATAGTTTGGAGTTACCATCGAACAGTCGTTTAAAATTGCTGACCTATAGGTTGGCAACCACGCCCACGGCTACGCCCTGGTTAATTGACTGCAATGATGATGAAAAACAAGTGATCGATCAATATAATTAAAAGATTTATAAAGTGAAATACTATTAAATTATTAATAAGTGATTTACTAGTCAGGGTTGTTATTTCAACAAAAAATAGAGTGCTCAGAAATTCAACCAAAAGGCGCGCAAAGGGTGTCGGGGGAAAATTGAGTGTATCATTTAACTTGGTGTCAACATGTGTCTTGCTCTATATCAAAAAAATAATTTTGTTTTGGCGTGTTTTTGTTGAGTTTATATGATCCGCCGACAGTGTGATTCCTGTGATCAGGGATACGACAGATGCCACCGTTCTCATAAAGAAGTAGCCATCTATTATAYGTATGCCAGGAATTCGTTGAGATGATCTTTTTATAAATCGCTTTGACGTAAAACGAAATTGTGTTGTGAAAAAGAAAGAGATGCCACTCAAAAATAAGTCAAATATTGATCCRACTGCCAAACTTCGTTTTCCAKTCTCATTATTTAAAAGATTTTTGTCTTTGCGTAATTATTTTTTTGCTTCCTAAAGCCTTATTAAGCTTGATTATAATGATCAAAGGATGAAAGCAATCGGAGTTTTCTTGTCCCAGGCGTGATATCATAAGATGGTTTTCATGGTAAAACTATCTGATAGGATCTACGACATGGTAAAAATTCTTGTACTTTGACGTAAGAAGCAAAGCTTTTAAAGACTATATTGTCATTAAAAATACTGAGTGCTAGGTTTTTAGATAAATCAAACAAATTGATCTTCAGGCGACTCCTTTTTCTAATAATATCAACTTGCATGTCGGGAAGTAAATCAAGAGTTGCGTTCGCTCATTTCCTCTGTGAATTGCATGTTTTCAAGACTATAAAGATATAATGATCTTTAAACCAGATTTTACTTTCAGTTAAAAAAATCATTAAGTAATTCATTAGCAATGATTTTTCGTTTTGCGCAGTTTTTGACATAGTTTCGACAGTCATTTTCTCCGATATAACTATTTGTCGTTGACTGTGTCACTCCAAACGCCTCGGGCCCGGAACACTCGGCATGGTTTACATGCTTCTTGGATCATACTCGTCTCTTGTTCAAACTAAAAGAGATAAGCAATCTGTAAGCCCTAGACTCAGAGTACATTTCAACACATCATTCATGGTGGCGAGAAACGATGGCTGACTGAAAGACCAACATGAGTCAGTCAGTGTAGGTAATTGTTTTCAATCAACGGAACCGAATAGAGTAAGAACGGAACAAACATATAAACATGTCCTTCATGAATTTAGGGTTAGTAAGCAAATAAAACTGCATGCGTTTTTGGCGGAAGAAAAACTATATTTATTTATTTTATCATTTCGTGTTTCAAAGCTCAAATGTTTTCGTGCTTTAATCTTTAGGTAAAGAAATGTAAAACGGGAAAACGCTCATAGCCATTTTCTAGGTATTTTCAACATTGCGAGGGACGATAGAGGAGTTWSGATATAACTGATTATGTTGCATGTCAGCAATAATAGTTGAACAATCAACAACGATCTGATAAAATTCAAAATTTTGCAGCTCCAATAAGTGAATAATTAATAAAAAGCCTTAATTGTCTGTATTCTTTAATCGTTTACAATTCTGAGGCACCAAAAATTGCCATGAAAAGAAAACAGTTACTATGTAATTAATTGTATTTTGCAAAAAAAAATATACTAGAAAGCCACTTCAAGACCCCGGGGGTGAGAAAATATCTCGTTCTGATTGGCTAGTTCTTGCTGATTGACATGTGACGTTAGTCCACAACACACAACTTTACATCTTTAGACCATTTGATTTATGAAGCAGTAGCCGTCTTCTTTATGGTGGTACTCTCACATCGTTTTCTTCAACTTTGACCTTGAAGTAAGCTCCAAGACGTGGCTAAACTACAGAAGGAAGATGGAGCAGTCATCCAGTCAGCTTACGTTGTGTTTTATAGTAGCTACAACTCTAATTTTCTGCACTCAAGGTACGTTGACTCACGCTGTAATCTCGCCAACTTTGTCACCTATATCAGATGTTAACTGTGCTCAATAGCATACTTTTTCTTTTGATTTGTTCACTGTTTTAAGTATTCTGCTCACAGTCTTTTGTAAATGACTGCATGAATAACATTTGCCGATCGTCATTTGAACAATTAACGACCTAAATAATACTACAACTCGTGAGCTTTAGTAAATTCCTGTCGGATACGTTATGTCTAAGAGTCAAGAGACTTTTATAAAACATATAGTAAAATTAGACGACAAATTGATTTGGTAATTTATGTTAAGAACTTATTCTTCTTCAGTCCTTTGAAGTTGATGCATGTGTGTGTGTTGAGGTGACAAAGTTGTTATTTGGGTCATTCTCTTCTTGGTGGACAAAATATAATGAAGTGTTAAAAAGTCAATGCAAATCTAACTTATGTAACTTGAATGAAAATATCGTTTTCTTTGGCCGGATGAAATATCTTCTGTGTTTAGTACTTTATTTATTTACTTATTTCTGATGCAATCGGAAGGGTTTCGAAGTTATCCTCCGTTAGAACTAATTTCTAGTGTTTACACTACTATGCGTTGCTCACAATGTGTTCGATGATTGCGGGTCCGATTCACAATCACCAAAGTAATCCCCCTCTATGAAGCCTGAATATCTGTTCTTCGATTACATACTAATCTTATGATGGGAGAGGGTTTTTTCGGGGCCAATAAGCCAAGTATTACTGTGAAAGATACCGCAATCATTTACATCTGTGAACACAATCTCTTTGTGCCTGCATTCTTTTTCATGAGAAATTCATGATCTTTTATCCCTAAGTATTTTAAGTCCAAATTATGTTAATTCTAAATTACGTTCATTTTACTTTAATTGAGAGAGTTATATTATTCAACCCGATGGCTCTTTTGATTTTGTTTGAATTTTCCGTCAGATCAGAGAAAAATGTTGCCTGCAAATCGAATTAAGGACGCATTACTCGATATAGAAGGGTTTTATTCATCTATTTCTGCTTGTTTGCATTTATTCCGAATCGTTATCTTGGTAAAATTGTTATCTTAATATCTTTTTAGTAATTCTCCTTCCGTTAAAATTATCACTCCCATTTTACTCTGGTTACCACGTTTTGGCATGCAGCTTGGCGAGCCCACACAGTTGAACATGGCAAATCTCTAGCGCTTTTGCCTGAAGCAAGAAGCAAAACATCTCACGACTGCTCTCAAAGAACAAAACAAAAAATACCTTTTAATAAGAGAACGCGAAAATATTTAACTAATTTCTAAAGTGTTTAGGTATTGTACGGGACAAGGAGTTGTTGGAATCCCGCAGAGCCCAGTGCTGTTTTGCCTCGAATTCTTCATGCACAAACAATCTTGTTTTTAATATTCAGCATTTTGTAATGGTTTCAGTGGAAAACCTTTAACTAATTGATATCACGATAAAGAACAACTTAAATTTTCTCTAGATTAAAATAGCAGTCCTTCTWTTTGATATTTCTCAATTTCCTTTTCAGTAAACATGTAAACAGTGATTGAACAATAGTAAAAAGAGTGTACTTTTGTAATGTTAGGTTTTTATAAAAATATCAATAGTTATTTGATGTCCACATTTCATTCTTTTGACAAAATTACTTATATAATAAAGTACCAACTTTACCACTGTAGATTCCATAAATTATGTACACTGCACGTTTTGTTTTGAAAGTCTTTCAAGCAAAACAATACTACAGATATTATGTAGGGTATTGTGAAGAAAAAAGATAAAGCTACTGTTCTCATAAGTGGTTTAAGTAGCTTTGACTCAGGAGATAGAAGGATGCACTTCAATTTCCTCCCACTTCATGAATACTAAAACTAGGAAATTTTACTTTTGGTGTGATTTTCCTTTGATCTTTTTGTTTTATTTATGGTAGTAAATGAATCATTCTTTATTAGTGAGCTCATTTCCTTCAAAATACAGATAATACTATTAGTACATAGATGTAGAACAAATGATTTTTAATTATCCAATGGCCTTCAAGTAGAAAACTTACAGTTGTTATAAATCGTTTTTAAGTAAAATGTACAGTTTTGTTGAAAAATAATTATGTATATAAGTGTTTGTAATCTATACTTATGGATCTATAGTACATGGATGTTATTCTAGTCAACATACTGAGTGATTGTTATTACCATGGACCTGTATCATAGTCTACCTAGTTTCAAGTAGAAAACTTACAGTTGTTATAAATCGTTTTTAAGTAAAATGTACAGTTTTGTTGAAAAATAATTATGTATATAAGTGTTTGTAATCTATACTTATGGATCTATAGTACATGGATGTTATTCTAGTCAACATACTGAGTGATTGTTATTACCATGGACCTTAATTAATTTTACACTGCTCCTAGCAAAACGCTCAAGATATAACTTGTCATTTCTTGAAAAGAAAAGAAAAGCAATTCATTTTACAGTTCTTTTTTGTTTTAATAGATATGTTGATCATTTCTTTAATTACTTTTCCCTGGCGACGTTGTCCATTTGAAAAAATAACAAAACAAAAAGAGACAAATTTAGTTTGAATAAAAGTAATCCTTTGATTTTCACAAAGCCAAAAAAGTGACTTCTTTACTGTCTTTTGTTCCTCACTCTTATTTATTGAGATGTTTGTTGATAATTCTACTTCTAGTTTTGTCTGTTTATAAACAAACCTATTTTTCAAATAATAATAATTTGGAAAGAGCAAGAAGTATAAGTATTGATACTTTATAAAGAGACATTATGTCAGTGTTTTTAATTATTAAACTTTTTCTTGTCATTTTAATCCTAGCAATGAATGATTTATATCTTGTAAAGTTTTGTAACATTGTGAGATAGTGACATCTGCATCTAAATAATAATGTCTGAAGTGGTTCTCTCTCATTTTTATGATTTTAAATCATTTGTCTTAAAACTTTGTGTTTTTAGAAGAACTGTATAATAAATACAATTTAAATTATATTTGTTTTTATTCATAGATTGTCGTATAAGTAACTTTATTATCAACTCAGGTTTTACTTCATATTTCATTTCTTGTTAAAATTTATCATTTTCTGTTTTTGTACAAAWCTACAAATTAAAAAAAATGAAGTGTATTTTATGAAATGTTCATATTTTGTGAAATCTTTTTCAAGATAACATATTATCTTAAAAAGACAATTAATTCAAGTTAAAGTTGTATGCAAATTCAACCAGATCTCTTGCAGTCAATTCACAAACTTAACTATAGATTCCATTGTATTCACCTCAAAAAATTATTTAAAAAAGGAATTTATTAACTGGATCTAATAACAGCCCTGTACTAGGATATTTCACCTTCACCTTCTGTGTAATAGCACAATAAATATAATTAATACCTATAATAAAAATTAATACCTGTAAAAAAATTATGATAGAGTAAACTAGGCTTATAGAATCGGTCTGAATTGGAAAAATATACCAAATGCTTATCAAAAGATTTATTTTTTATGTTTATGAATCCCATAACAGGGTATACAATGGCAAAAGTAGTTAAGCTCGCAGCAAAATTAAAACAGAACAAATTGGTAGACAAAAATGATATCAGTATATATTATRTGACTTAATTCAAGGTAAACTACTTTACCTGTAGTTTGTTTATATTGTAAATATGATATTTTTGTGAGGGAATGCTTAGACCACCCAGGTGTTTATAAAATATAATACAGGTTATCAAAAATTCAATACACAAAATCTCTGTAAGTATTTATCACAAGAAACATTGCAGGAAAATTTTAGATTGGTTGTCATGGTAACTRTCAAAAACTCATTTTAACTGCAATTTTTTGTATATTTGATGAGTACTACTACTTGATTATGTTAGGTCAGCCTTAGGATTAAAAAACTGAAGAAATAAAAACATCCTTTATAGAGTCATTMTGTGATGTGTTATATATCTATTGGACTTAATGACCCAATGATAAAACTCACTTTATCTATCAAGTATTGCCAAGGGCTTTGAATTGCTTTTGGCTAAGGTTTAATCAGATAAAGAGTATGAATGTCTCATGGTGAAGAGATGCAATAGATTAATTGTAGATATAGGACTATTGTTCATGACTTGATAACATACATCATGATAATTACAGTTTTTCCTTTTTAATAGTACTGTTTCTAATGCCAAGGATGACCTTTTATGATTATTAGGTAGTTTATACATTGATATGATAATACAACTGTAATATCATCATAATTGATGTACAGTATATAGGGAATGTTACAGACCCTCTATATCATTTAACGTACACTTTCTGAGGTGTAAACTAAGTTGATGAAATTATTGCCTATATCTTGTATAATATACATTGATGGTCATATATATTCTAAAGGCTTTTGTGGCATTGATTATCAAAGATAAAGACATTTGCATAATATCTGTCCAATAGTACAGCTATGTTTAAATCTTAGTGTATGATATTTGAATTCTTTTTTCAAAAGATAGAATATGTTGTTGGTCATTGATTACACAGTATATGATGTCCTTTTAGACAACTATGTCAAATRTGTCATTACAATCACATGTTAACAGTGTCAGTTCTGTTTTGTTACCTTGTTGTGTCAAAGGTTAATCCATTTTCCATTATGACTATACAAAGGTTTACTATTATCTATAATTCCAATCTAGTCCCTCATTTGTCATGCTAATCCAATTAGTATTTTGTTCATTATTTGTATTTTTGTAAATAATCATTCATTCATTCATGCAGGCATTTGCTTTTTCATTTATTTGTTTAGATCTTTATATCATTTTGTCAATAATTCAAGATTGGTTTTGTTTTATTTTTCTCATTCATTTTTCTTTTTTTTATTGGTATTTCATGTTATTTTCTCATTACTAACCAAAAGGATTTACTAAAGGATTTAACTTAATCCTATAAAAATCCTTAAATATTCTGTACATTTGATGTTTCATTATAATGATGATGAGATAATGTTTTTATAGGTACATCCAATCAACTTGCTCCATATTTCATCAAAGAACCGTCATCTACTATAGCACAGAAAAACAAACCTCTTATACTAGATTGTAAAGTAAATGGAAACCCCAAACCGCGCATTAAATGGAAACGTAATGGGATAGAGATCAAACCTGATGATAGACGGTCAATTCTTCCTGATGGTTCACTGCATTTTAAAACTATAACTCACACTAAAACAAACAGACCTGACGAAGGTCTCTATCAGTGCACTGCCACTTCTCAGATAGGAAGTCAGGATTATATAATAGCAAGCCGAACTATACAACTTCAAGTCGCTGGTAAGTAGTTTTTACTGTAAAAACACTGTAGTGAGAACTAGCTTTGAATGTTCATTGATGATAATTATGAGACATGATGTATTAAAATTTTACTTAGGAGACAATATAAATGGGTCCAAATTCCACTTTTTTTGAGCATCGTTCTCCGTTGTAAACATGCTGTGATGTCATAATGCAATTTGCAATTTGCTTTCATATTTATTGAAATCATATTCTTTTTATCTCAGGAATGTCATCAAAAATTACTATCCAACCAGCTTCTCTTCAAGTGTTCTATGGAGATATGGCAAGACTGCTATGTAATGTCAGACATTCTGTACCCAATGCAGAGTTTACATGGACATTTAAGCATAAAGATGGCACTGTTAGTCCAGTACTGCTCAGTCGTAAACATACTATGATAAATACTGGAGTATTACAGATTGGTAACGTGCAGTCAAGTGATGCTGGAGAATATAGCTGTACAGCAAAGAATAAACTTGCACAAAGATCCCACACTAGCAGTTATATACCACTGGGTCTTAAAACAGGTAAAATAATAGCYATATTTTGAAATTCTTGTTGAATGGTCATGTAGAACAGAATTTAAGACATAAGGCACAGAGAAACAAAAGAATTTTAAAAAAAATCTACACTTTTACTATTATAATTTTGTACTGTAAATGTTAAAATCCACCCACCACAAACACAATTTGTACTCAGCATGCTCTTATATCAAATTATATTTATATATTTCAGACACAGGTGTCAACAGAAAACCAGACTTTATTGCTAAGCCATCAGATGCAAATACKACTAAGGGGRGTAATGTAACGTTAGAATGTGCAGCCACAGGGAACCCAACACCTAAAGTACAATGGTATAAAGACTCCAAAGTAATATCATATGACGACAGAGTAAAGCGCTATGGCGTTAATAATTTGATGATCACTAATATCTCTACAAGTGATGAGGGAGTTTATGAATGTAAAATTTCATCAGGAAGTTTATCAAAGTCTGCAAGTGCCAAACTGCTTGTTCATTGTAAGTAGAAATGCTTTCTTTTATTAAAAAATAACTATGAGTTCTGCTATAGATTTGATGGTAAAATATGTATCACATTATTGAGATCATGTTACATGTAGTTCATGAAATTCTAGTAGTGTCTAGATATTTCTAGAATAATAGGCTAACATTATGAAATGTGATTGTATTTTAGACCCTCCAAGCTTTAYAACAAAACCTAAAGACATAAATGCTCATGTCAATACTGATGTGAAGTTTAATTGTATTGCCGTTGGTAACCCATCCCCCAGTATTTCATGGCTSAAGAATGGGATTCTGGTTTCTGAATCAGATTATATGACCATCACCAGTACCTCACTGGARGTAGCATCCATTCTAACACTGGATACTGGTATCTATCAATGTATAGCTAAGAACTACTTGGCTGAGATACAGTCTTCTGCTAAACTTGCTGTCTTTAATTCAGGTAATTTGATTTGTATGCAACAGTATGTTTCGCAAACTTCTGTCTCGCCATGAATCCAATTGTCATTAATCCAAGACAAAGTAACACATTCCTTCAACAGTTATTGGATTTATTGGATGATAACAGAGACAAGGGCATGCAAATACATTAATAGKGACCATACATTTGTGTGTTGTGCTGTGAGTTATTGTAACTTGTGTCAACTATGTTTCTTGTAAACCAAATTCATCCATCATCTTTTGTGTTATAATTGTTAATATATTTTGTACACCTCTGATAGTCATTATAATTACTCTTTATAACTTCTATTTATTCCTTGTCAGATATACCTCTTCCTACGCCAGAACGTACTACACAAACTCATGCACCACAAACTACAACAGCTACCACAACTAAACCACCCACGACTACCAGTATACCTTCAACAACACAGAAAATCACTACTACRAAGAAATTTGACTCAGTGCTTGGCAAACCAAAAAATGTCAAGTGTCATACAAAGTCAGAGACAGAGATTGTATTAACATGGRACCCTCCAGACAATGGCAAAGGCAAGATACAGGAATACAAGATTTTTTTTAGCTATAATAGCCAATCAGGTAATGATAATTATTGATAAATCATAATTAGTTATTAGTAAAGTAAAATTCACATGGCAGGATTTTGTTGTTTGACTGTAGTATATGATTTCCCTATAACACGTCATAGGTACCATTCACAGGCTAACAGAATACTTAGATACAAACCATATTCTTTGCAAAATGCTACCATGTTGTTATCTTTATGTTAGGTTTTCCATTCATAAAGGATGTCTAAATATGGCATGTGTTGCATTGCAGCTAAAGATGATTATCATCATTATAGTAATTACGATGACTTACAATTTTATTTCAGGTACTAAAAATGACATGAAGGCCACTAATGGTGATGTTTATAAAATTGTCCTTCAAAACCTTCAAAAAGACACAAAATACACATTTATGGTATTTGCAAGAAATACCSAGGGCACTTCTGGGTTAATTTCTCAAAAAGCATATTGTTGGACTGCTTCAAAGTCTCGTCCTGGAGTCCCTGCTTCTCTTACTACTGATAGTACATCATCATCACAAATCAAAGTACAATGGGCTCAGCCAACTACTGGGTAGGTGTATGAAATGCACCAGTAACCTGTGATGTATTATTAATAGCAAATAATATCTGTCTTTAGGACTACTGTGAAAGAGTATCTAATACAGTACAAGGAAGCTGGCGATGGTATCAATAACACCTTATACTCTGTAACAACTCGCAAGCAYAAAACCCTTAAAGGCCTAAAAACATTCACCACCTACAAAATATGGGTGTATTCTGTTGACAATGTTGGCAAGCGCAGTCATCCCGCTTACACAGTAGCTACAACTCTTGGAGGGGGTAAGACTCTTTTGAATAACGTGAATTGACTATCAATTTTGTGTGTTTTTTCTGAATACATACATATCAGTTAATAAGGATTTGTTTTGTAGTTCCTAAGGGTAAACCATTGGATGTTACTGTCATTGGTGATGGTAGTGGCACGGCATTGATTGTTACCTGGAAACCAATACAGTTTGACCTCATTAATAGTGGTATTACCAACTATTTACTGGAATATAGGAAACCAATGGATAAAAAACCAAAACAAATATATGTACAGGTACAAAACTGGACAGACCAATCACTAGTATTTTACAAGAATGATTGATTTGTTTGCTTAAAGTCGCTATCATGATAGTCTACATGGACATTTTATCAAGAGTTTAGTCCCATCATTTAAAATTCATTGAAAGTTGTAGTTGTGTTTTCTTTCACATTCAAATGRCAATCACAAGACAGTTTCTAATTTGTGTTCTTACTAAATGCTAGGGTGATGTKTTGAAACRCAAGCTGACAARTCTTGATAAAAATACTGTTTATGAGGTTAGAGTTGCTGCTGGAAGTGCCTCAGGTTATGGTGATTACTCAAAATGGACTTCTGCTAACACCAGCATCACAAAATGCTCAGGTAAAACCAGAAAGAAAATCATTGTAAAACATTGCAGAAGAATGAACTAACTATAGTCTTATATAGGGATAGTAAATAAGAATCCAAACTGACTATAGTCTTATATAGGGATAGTAAATAAGAATCCAAACTAACTATAGTCTTATATAGGGATAGTAAATAAGAATCCAAACTGACTATAGTCCTATATAGGGATAGCTAAAAAAGAATCCAAACTGACAATAGTCCTATAGAGGGATAGTAAATAAGAATCCAAACTGACTATAGTGGGATAGTAAATAAGGTTATAGCATGTTTATTTATATTCTGCAGAGCAACAAAGACCAGGGCAACCCACAAATCTGGAGTTATCAACACCTGTCCAAGGTTTGCCTAAGATTAAAGTACAATGGCAGCCTCCAGTAGACGTGAGTCAGTGGTGTGTTACTGGATACTCACTGGAATATGGTGAAGGTGTACCAGTCAGTCCTAAGATAAAACTCAATGCATCGACTAGAGTCTATCTTATTGAAAAGGGAATACGTAAGTAAACCATTGAAAAAATATGCAAAGGTTTGCAATGGTTAACTTCAACAAGAAACCCAGCCTGTTGTGTCTGTCTGTTTGTCATTTCAGATCTTTGTTAAATGCCAATTCTCACATGTCCCATATGCACATTACTTCAAACTTTTGTTTCTGGTCATTGCCAGTATCTCATATACAATGAGCTCAACACTAAGATACTGGCCATTTAAAACTGATCTAAGAAGAAACATGATTTTTCATGTGTTTTTTTGTTTTCTGTTTTCAGATGCYGGACGAGAGTATGTTGTCAAGTTAGAAGCTGTAAACAGCAAGAATCACAATGGCAAAAATGTACAGAAAGCTATCAAAATACCACCAGTCATTCAGGGTAAGTAACATTTTACTTCAATATTCTTGTCTACTTATAGCCTGCAAGTTTCTTCCTGTACAGATTTTTTAGTTTTTGTTTTTACCTCTTGGACAACCTTGTACTCTTACTTGTTCCCCTCCCCAGATAAAAAACAACAACACTTAACAACTAACAACAATTTAACCAAGCTTAACATTGTAGTTATGGTTTTACAGTGTCAAGAAAACCAGTCAAACATCTTCGTGCAATTCCATTGTCTTCAACTGTGGTCCAAGTGAGCTGGGCTGAGTTTAGYCTACAAAGGCCATACCTGTATCATATATTTTATTCTGTTAAGAAGACCATGGTGTATTGTGGGAATACTACCCAACTGTCAATCAATTGTGCTGGATTACAGCCCTACACCTTTTACACTTTTATTGTAAGGAGATTCAATGAGAAAACCAATGCTACTGCATACAACAAGACATTGGAAGATAGTAAGTATAATATACATGATCAAGAGGAGGCATCGGTAATATTATAGTACAAAGATTATTCTGTGATATATTCAGTATTGCAGTACATTTCTTTTGAAAGTTGTGTTTATATATTTTGTATTCCTACCTTCCATATAAGTTTAAAATATTGTGTAAGTAATTGTATATTTTCTTTTCTTTATGTTTTATTGCTTTTCTCCTTACCTGTCATCATCATCATCATCATCATCATCATCATCATCATCATCATCATCAGTCAACCGTGGTCGAGATCCTTACTTGTAATTAACATTGTAATATTTAAATGACAGGGGGCTTACTAGAAAACGTATTAGTTAATTAGCCCTCTGGCTTTATCTCTTTACAACAAATTTAAGTACTTTTGATTCTTATTTATGTTTTTCGTTACAAGCACTTTATTTTGTTAACTTTAAAGCAAATGAGCAATAAAACAGTTTCAGTTTCATGAAATATAAGTAAAGAAATTCATAAGCAATTTTTGTTTTGTAGAACCCAATCCACCATTGGATATAACTGGTCGTCTAACAGAAGATAACAGCAGTGATCTGGTGCTAAGCTGGCAACCCCCAGAGAAAATAAACGGCAAAATCTTAAAATATCGGATATTCTACACAAGGAATACTAGCCTACCAAACAGATCATGGAAAAAACATGAAGTCAAAGGCAATTCATTGAACACACGAATTACAAACCTACAACCWGGTGTTAAGTACTATTTTAAAATGAAAGTWCAAAATGGTGCAGGATGGAGTGACTTCTCTAAAATAGAGATGGTTCCTACCTATGGTATGTAGTGCGATAACCAGGTTATTCCATTCTAAGTTGTATGTTATTRGACGAGACTCAAGGTGCACTTCTCATACATTGAAATTTATGGGGAGGGGAGATGGTTGTCCCAGCTGCACATACTGTTAATGAGTGCATGCGGTCCCCATTAGGGTTAAGTGCTGTATTAGGGTGTGTCCGATGTGCTCCTCACCTCAAGATTTGCACCTTTTTTCCTTGTATCTTCTAAGTTGTTTTATCTTTCTTTTTTAGACACTTCGAATTCAGGAGGAAATGGTAGGTAAACTATGGTTTTAATGCTAATCACGCCATGCTTCTATGGCTTACTTTGCCTGAACAATGTGCTTGCTATTTTGTTTTGTTTTGTTATTTTGTWCATTTCGTTTTGTTTCTAACCGTTCCAATGATTTTTAGGTAGTAAAGGTGGAGACCAAGGTAAGGACATGYTACTTTGTTTTCATTTTTGTTCTGCGTGTCTTTTTGTATCTGTTTGTGCTCCCGACTATCTGGCTGCCAAGCTATCGCTTCGTCTGACTTGTTTGCTTGTCTRTCAATAGGCCTATCTTTCAATAGGCCTATCTTTCAGTCGATCAGTTTGTCTATCTGTCTGTCGGTATGATTTCGAGATGTTTCCTTCCTTAATCAAGGTTTCACTCATGACCGTCTGTTATATTCCAGGAAATGCCAACGCACAAGCTGGAGAAAGTTCTGGTCTTAAAGACAAAACCCTGTGGATTGTGATAGCTGCTGTAGCTGGCGTTACTCTCATTGCTATAATTGTAATCAGCGTTGTGTTATGTAAGAAACGATCTGGAGAGGATTCAAGGTGAGCACGCTGTGATGAAACATCATCTTGCACCTCTCCTTCAAGACTTGCATGCTCTTCAAATGTGTACATATTGATATAGTAAGGCTAGTGTGGTTGACTGCATGTTTCTTTTGTAGCTATTTATTACTATTTTATATAGGAAAATCTTTCCCACAAATCTTTCGTTTCTCTTCTACTGGTGTGAAACTATAATGCAGGTAACTTTTAGTATCAAGACTTTCCGTTTCTCCGGTCTGTTATGTTTGTTTATAAAGATGAACTTTGCAAGAATTTTTTGAAGTCTATAGAAAGTAATATATTCTAGGTTTATAATTGTAGGTTTTTATTGTTTTATATTTAAGTTCTCTTTGAAAAACAAACATTTTTTTTTCATTTGCCATTTTCTATTAGGTTTTTTATGTTTTTCGGTGCGTTCCGTTTCGTTGTGTTTTTCGTCTTTTTTCTGGAATCAGCAATAAGTGGGTGGTGAACTCCCAGCACAAAATGTTTTTATACAGGTTGTTGGTTTATACAAATATATAAAGTCTACAAAGAGAAATAAAGTATCTATGAAATATATAACAACACAGTAATGCTAGAAAGGTTTTGGACTGCGGCAATTTTCTTTTAAGTCGGCAAAAAAACCTGTTAAATGTTTAGTTGAAAATTGGATTTTTTGTTAGAGGATCATATATACATTAGAATACATACAATTTTACTATAAAACGTATTGTAAATGAACTATAAGATTAGAAACGAATAAAAATATTAAAACAATTTGAAGTTTCTTTTCTGAAATTTCACTCATTTACGCAGTCGAAAATTTTCATTCATTCATTCGTTCGTCTGTTCAATTGTCGTTCGTCCATATGATTACCGTTGTAAGCCTTTATGTAGGGTTTATATCTTAAACATAATCTCTTCATAATCTCACTTTGTCCTTTCATCCCATTCTTTTTCTCTTTCAGTTGTACATTGTTATGTGTATGTTTCTTTTTGAAGTGAAGAAGACAAACGCCTTGTTACGGAAAGACTGGGACGACTTTCGTCGACGGGTTCGAAACGAGGCTATGTAAACYACGTGATCACTCGCATAACCTCACTTATCCGATCACAATATACCTTCCGATCACTTATCGACCACAATCTGACAATTTGTTGTTAATTGAAATTGCACATGTATGACTTGTGWTCTTGTCATGTTGAGTTGTTTCCTATGTGGCCGGATAAGAGAGGTTGAACAGATATGATTGACAGCGYGATACTCATGTTCTTTTTGATGTCTTATAGTCTCAGAAAGCCGCCACCTTCCTACAAAGCAGCTGTGACCGCCAATGGATCCGCTAAGAAGAAAAACAAAGACGACAAGCGACCCGACCTGTGGATCAACCATTCCGATAATGTTGAGATGAAACCACTATTTAAGACTAACCATGATGCCACTAACATACCAAGGTATGTCAATCAATACTGATTYGTTCGTATTATCAAATCGATAATGATTCGTTCTTTCTAATCCCCTGCATGTCAATCGATATTGATTCGTACTTATCATTCTACTTACAATCCTGTCGATACTGATTCGTTCATAGGAGCTCGACGGAGATGAAACCACTGGACGACCATCCAATTGATAAGATTAAAGTAGACCACGAACGATCTTCCTTCCGYAAAGGAAGTCAAGACCAAGATTCCTTACCACCACCCCCACCGCAGTTGTTAGACGACGATGATGTAGATGTACCCTCTCCTATTGCTATTCCAAACTATTCACCTTATCGACCGGTCGTAAGCTATCCCAGGAATGTCGCMCCTGATGATGGTAAGGCTGATTAACTTCAAAAGATATTAAAATAATTTATACACTGCGTTGTARGCTTGAGGACAGTAAGCAAGTGTATTGATTTATGTTCAGGTTTTACTGGTTTAGCAAGCCTCAAAACTGRAACGCACCAACTTGAAKCAATAMTAGTTGCATATCCCATGGTTAACATTGATATTGCTTAGTGATTTTTTCAATATTTTTCACAGTTGTGTGGATTGTCAATTACAGCTTTATGTAGTAAGACTTTTTACCTATTAATTTTTAGGTACAGCTCAATTATCGTACCCAGATTACCCAGTAACAAGTACCCCAAAACATATGAATACAATGCCTCGTGAATCGTTAGACAACGAACCCAATCATACCACCCCATTATTACGATCGCACTCAGACGACATCGACCACACTCCGACCAGTCAGACCCCTATTCCTATATATGCTGTACCGAATCCAAAGAACAAATCGCGGCCACCAAAAGACGAGCCGAGGTATAAATCACCCCCTCCTCCCAAAGCTATGACCAATGATCCACCGCCAGTAGGGTATAGTATACCTAATGGTCGTCCACATACGGTAAGATTCATTGTCTGTTGTTCACTTATTATATGACATCTTTGTCTTCAACTCTTGTTCATTGTGTGTGGTATGATATATCGTTTTCTTTTTTGTGGTCGAAGTGTGATTTGTTGTTTGTGGAACACATTTAATGAGAGGTTATTAACAAGTTTTTGTATTTCCTGTAATCATTCTTTGGCAAAATTCTAAAGATGGCCTTTTCTACCCAGTGTAATTTTTTCTTTCTTTCTTCTTTCTTTTGTTCGTTTTTCTTTCAATTCGTTCGTTCTTTGTTCATATGTCGTCCATTGTTTCTTGTTCCTGTTTTGTGTATTCTTCACTCGTTCCCTTTCATCTCTTCGTTCTTTCCTCGCTCATATTTCTTGTCTTCGTTCTTTCCTCGTTCATATTTCATCTCTTCGTTCTTTCCTCGTTCATATTTCGTGTCTTCGTCCTTTCCTCGTTCATATTTCGTGTCTTCGTCCTTTCCTCGTTCATATTTCGTGTCTTCGTTCTTTCCTCGTTCATATTTCGTGTCTTCGTTCTTTCCTCGTTCATATTTCGTGTCTTCGTTCGTCGTACTCTCATGCGTGCTGTCATTCTTGATCCGTTCTCTTTAGAAGGATGTTGTCGCAGACTTGGACAGCCAGCTTGCAGGCCTTGAAGGGCTCATGAAAGACTTGAATGAAATAACTAGCAGCAAAGAATATTTAACATAACAACACTAAAAATAAATAACAATATAAGAGGTGAGGTGTAAGCACATCCCCAATGCACTATGCACTCTAGAACAGAACTCAATGTAAATAAATACATTGATGGATAAATAGATAAGTCAGTTTTAAAAGTACGAATATGAATAACTAGAATATAAAAGTGAATGAATGACTGGAATATGCAGTGAAAGAAATGGGTGAATGAATGAAATGAGAAAATGATTGAAATAACTGAATGAATAAAATGAATTGATGAATTCATTGACACGCATATCAATAAGTAAGTGATGGATAAGTAGGTCTAGGATAAGACATAAAAAGTAGTTAATTAGTATGGCACTGGTAATRATATATGATATACATACTATTTGAATATTACGCGCTAAAGAARTTGTCGCAAAGAAATTGTTTTGCCATTACCAACATATTCAACCTGCGCGCCTCATGCTCACATACGATCACTCCTATTTCACTGCAACAATCGTACACAAGCACTATGCGTGTTATGCCACAAGAAGAATGAATCGTGTTATAGTAGTTGCACTGTCATGAGATCCAACTTCTATGCACTATGAATTATGCCATTACGTCTTTGAAATAAATACATCTAATTCTAGTCTCTCTGTTCAATAACATTCGTCAGTTGATATTATTCAAATAACAAACAAGATCTATTTATCTACTTGTTACAGGAGTCAGCGGTCTTCTACGGAGATCAAAACTCAGACGAGGAAGTACAGCATACTCCAATGTAGAACTCAACCCACATCCAAATAATGATCCGAGAGGGAATGGGTCTCAAGATGATCCTCTCTAGGAAGGGGGTGTCATCAAACGAGCAGCAAATAGTAAATTAATATAAAACGCAGTAATACGCATTAGCTAAGATGCAAACATAAAATATACCTATTTTTTTATAGGACGCGAATTAGAAAGCAGTCATTGACTGACGGGGAATGTCTTCTTTCAGGAGCGTAACTAGAATTTGTCATTGTGGAGGAGGTGGGTTTCTTTTGAGAACCACGGGTAAAGCTACTAACTGATTTAGTTGACTCATCTTCACACCGTATCAACGCTCAGATTGTTATAGTTATTTCAGTTTTGTCCCTGAAACTAGAGTCACAGGCACCCTGTTAATCCCCTATATAGGTCTCTGACTTACATAACATTTTGATAAAGAAAAGCACTAAGAACTCAAAACCTGCCAGTATTTTAAAAAAGTCAAATATTTTTGAAAAATGCTATAGGTAAGCATTAAGCTCTCTTCAGTTTTACTCTCTTTCTGTGATGGTAAATCGCGTTTTAGTGAACGAAAGGGATTACAGGGTCATCAAAATCAGTATATATATTTTACATTGTAGATGATATTTCAGTACATCTTTTAGTAGCGTTTTGAAAAATCTTTTAATGTTAAGGAATATCGCGGGTTTGTACCGAAAATAAATATAAAAATATAGCATATAAATAAAGCATATTTTGCTTATATCTTTCAGTGGAAATTACTCACAATTTATCCTTACATGACTTTTACAGAACTTTCGCAAAACGATGTGCATTTCTAAAATGTCGCGGTAGCAATCTAGTCGGTTCTTAATTTTAAGAAACTAGCTTTGTATTATAATAATATATATATATATATTTAGAAAATAAAGCTTACATAGAATCAGTTTACTAGTATGTTAATCTCACTTATTTATCCCGTTAAAGCTACGAATAGAATCGAAATAGAATTCCAATGGTAGTCAGGTAAACCAATCAGAGTGAGCAAACAGGGAGAGGTACCCAAGAATTAAGGAGGGGTAGAAAAGTGTCTTGTGATATTTCARTGAACAATTATCTATTGTTAAGGTTCCCAGGCACGTCACGATATTATCTTGAYCAATATCGCGCTTTTAGTCATCAATCCCATGGCTTTGCTGTATTCCACTAATCTTTGCTCATTGTTTTGCTATTTATAAATTGTTAACACATTATATTAAAATGTTGACAATTCAACACCTAAGGAAAAACAACGCATTGACTAGCTTGTTCCCTGTAATTTTACTTAGCAATAGGAACCCTTWCGAAAGTAGAGTGTTTTGATACTAAAATCAAGATAGCGTGAAAACTGTAACCAAAATACATTCCTTGTGAGTTATGAACCATTACGATCGTTGGACGTGGCATAACACATAACGTTTATATCATCGCTCGTAATGATTACCAGATACTTCATATCGAATCATCTAAGCTCTCGCTGCCAATCAAAGCTCTTTCAGCAAAGTTGACGTTAACCATAGTTGTCAATCATTAACTGTGATTTCTAATCATCATCAACTTTCATCATGTAAACATAATGTCAATCATCATCCATGGAGATTTCATCAATCAACAGCGTACTTAAGTTGGTACGAAAGAGGGTCGGTGATCTTTGTCATCATTAGCCGAGAATCAGTTTCAATAATCATTTCAGTTGGCACTGTTACCGTCCAATAGTATCATTGCTAGTATATTCATCAGCATCATATACAATCAGCATCATACCCGTCACCCAACTATAACCGMTCAGCAATGACTGGTTCTACCATCACCGTCACACTAAGGCACTAATCAAAATTAAGCAATGAAAATTCACACTGTCATGATTAACATTGTTTATAGCATCCTAGCATTGCATTACATTGATTTATTTATTGATATCTTCCAAAATGTTCTATAAAGTCTTATTTTTATTTTACAGTTTTCTACTTGAGAGAGATAAGAATGAGAACTGAGAATGCTTTGAAAGTCTAGCTAGTTAAATTTCGTCGTCCWGAGCCAATCAATGGTTTCTTTCAAATAAAAACATTTTAATATTTTATAAGTTTTATAACTAAAAAAACAGGTCGTGAAYGTCATTTTGTGACAGTATTACCGGGAAAATGCGTCCTTAAATGGCGTACCCCGTCGCTAAATACCAATCGCAAGAATATATAGCACTATTAACTTTAGCAGTTTTTATATTGAGTAAAATGGTCGCTATCTGAGTTATAAATATGTCGTGAAGGAACACAGGATCTGAGGTCAAGTTACAGTTAGACTTTCAGGGTGTCCCSAAGTGAGAAATTGAAAGAACACGACAAGATAGAGACGATTGTATAACGACTTATAAAATGACGGTTGAAGTATTGTGTACGTGCTTATATCAAAACACTTATTAAAATGGTAATTAATACACAAAGGAATTGAAGCGATTTATGATGACTGCAAAGTCGTGATTTTCAAACAGGCTTATGCATGACTGATTGCTAGGAATGCTGCCAAAATGTTATCAATCTCTTTGCTATATTACTGAAATTACTCACATTTTCGAGCTGAAATAKCGCTCCATAAAACCGACAATTTTTCATCAATGATATTAAGTGAATAATATAGTAAAAAGATAAGTTTTTCAAGGTATTTTGATAAAATTCAGAAGTACAGTAGAGCTGTAGTTTTATGACTGCACTGTTGTGCATTACTCATGTTTAGAAATTTCAAGCGTTTTGATTGGCCGAATGTGAATCCCAAACCATTTGATTGACAGGTAAGCCACTTACCGACTGACGCCGTTCAGAACTCAGGGTAAAATGGCTGCAGTTCACCCATATCAACGAGTTCTGCTTGCAAATCGCGATATCTTGCTAAGCGAATTGCCTACAGATCGAGTACTTGATTTTCTGGAAGAGCGTAATGCTCTCAGTGTCAAGGAAATTGATGACATTAAAATCGGTCGCAGTCAACGAGAAAGAATAGAGAGTTTGTTGGACGTACTGCACTACAAGGGGGAAAGAGTGTTCAACGAATTTTGCAGAGCTTTGGACGAATATTCTCCTAAATTAGCGGCAAGAATGTCGGACAAAGATCCACAGGCCGAYCAGAGAGGTAATAAATAATTTGAAAATTTGTTGTGTAATTATTCCTGTTCATTCATGGCTGCGTAAAATCTACTGACAAAGTTTTCAAACACTCGAGGAGTTTGCAAGCTACATTTTTGAATAATTTACAATTTTTTTCGACAGTATTCTTGTTAAAATGTTTTCTCTCATTTCAACAATTTGCTCTGATTCTTTGAAGAAAARTTAGCTTTGTTTTCATATGCAGAGGTGAATAAATTACCAATTGGCTGTCGATTATTGGTTTAGGCCGTGACGTTTATCAAAAGAACTTGCTGCAAATTCAAATGAGTCGCCAAGGAAAGCGTCGCTACGCCCACCCCACTACTTTTAAAAACCACAAAATCATCCCGTTTTTTCTTCGCAGATAAATACTACAACGAGCGAAACTCAAGCTCACGGTATAGCTCGACATATTCAGACCACGATCGCGGCTACAGAGAAATAAACGGGGACGATTTTCATCGTGATTTTGATCGTGACAGAGACGARAGGGACAGCAAGCCTTCCGACATGAGAGGCGAACCAGAGCCGCATTACGCGCAAGTAAATAAAAGACCTAGGGACATGGATAGAGTTGCCGACGACAACAGATCAGTAGGTTCACATCACAGTCGACACAGTGAAAGAGGTGGACGTGGTGATGACTATTACAGAAAAACTCCTCGKAGAGCTGACGAGCTCAACGTAAGTAGAAATCTAGTGYATTTATGAAACTCTGCCATCTTTAMTACCAACTGTGCAACTTTTATGAGGTTTTATTTTCATATTTCAAACGCCTTAAAAGTCCTATTCACACATGGTATCCACAATTTCAGATCTTTGAGCCTAAAGTTTGTTTTTCATGTTGTTTCGAACTTCGCGTCCGTAATTTGAGAGCKCGCTTTGTTGTTCTTCAAGTTGTAACAAAATCTGTATTTTTGCAAAAAGGAATTCAAACTATGTGAGTCACCAGTGATACCATCACCGCTTTATTTAACTTTTTACCCATTCATTTGTTCATTCCTTACGTATGTGTTAAAACATTTGGTTATGTTTGAACATAGCTTTATACCTATCGAAATTAGTATTCATTTTCATCGATCGATACCAACGTTTGCTCTTCGAACTTGCTATTTTGGAACAAGACGCGCGCTATCCGTTTTGCTCAAATTTCCGTTTTCTTCAGTAGTTGCTATTAAGACCAGAGGGTCATTTCTGTACGGTTAAGGTTACTCTTGATAAAATAATGATTCCATTCGGTTATTAAGCAATCCTTACGTGACGAAAAAGAATATATTTGTATCGATGTTTACTGTAGTGTTGGACGCCATTATGCTTATCTTTCTTTGCATTCATGCACGTAAACTTTGTTAAATTCTAACTAGAAACCTCTCTCCCTTATTTTAAACAATTTATATGGTCAAAAATATTTGAATTACGCACATTTTACATGTTAGATTAATTTCCTGTAATGTACATGATCATTGAGAGATATATTGTTAAAAGCAATTGAAAATTTTGCACAAATTTTCTATTTATAATGTTGTGAACATATTGTCTATATTACATGTAAGAAAAAATAAAAACTTTCAAGACTTTTTTATTTTCGATGAATTATTTAACCAGTTTCTTTGCAAACTGTCTGAGATTGACCATTGAGAATTTTTTGTTAACTAAAGAACTATTAAGATGAAAATTATTTTCTCACCGTTTTACTCACAATTKATAATTGTCTTTTTATTGCTTGATGTGTCTGAACACTATTTTTCAAAGAATATATTTTACAACCATCAATCTTTACCCTGCTCAGGATGTATTGTTGTTTTAATATGCACTGAACGATCTCTTGAACAAACTCGAAGGTTTTTACTTCAAAGCAAATACAGTTTTATTATTCTTTATATTTACATGTTTAATTTGAGCAAAGTATACGAAAAATAAGCATTTTGTGAGGTTATTCTACCATTTGCTTGGTGAAGTACACTTATGTATGATTTSACAGAAAGACATTGAATTTGTCTTTTTCAAAACAATCTAAAAKAATTTTTTTTTACACAAAAGTTGGCAATGTTTCAAGATCTGTTTCTCTCAACCATTTTGTCCACTTCATCTTCAAAAAGTGTTGTTGTTTTATTAAATCTGAAGAAAGAATCTTAGTCATTACTGCTCTATGGCCTTTTAAGTGTCTTTGTTTTGTGTTGTCTAGCTTGTCATATATGTTTAAATACCCTGGATGTAACCTGTTGATTTTGAATATGTCACCAGCAAGTCTTATATTAGCTTGTTGTCTGTACAGAATTTGCATAAATGAGAACAAAGCAAAATAACGGGCCACATCACAGTATCGTCAACACATAATGTCAGCATATCATTGTCATCAATTACAGTGTATTAGCTAGAACGCTGCATATTCTTGAATGTTAACCAAGCAGTATGTGCTCTGGTATTCATTCCTATATGGACTATTTAGAGCTGTTYTCTCTAGTGTTGTATTTCCTTGGCATTATTTCAGCAGAGGGCCAAGGGCCAGTTAAGTTTAATAACATGCCGGTTCTTGACTACTTAAAACATAACTCTTACAACATAGCTATTATGTTAGGCCTTGTTATTGTTGATTGATCTACRTATACATCTGTAGTCATTGTACAGCAAGCTTTTATAATATTAATTTGTTATGCTCTATTGCTTCTGAGTGAGTCATCACAGTTAGAGTCAATTTCTCTAATGTAGACCGTGATGGTCAGTGATTCCTAGAGCTGTTGATTTATTCTAGAAGAAGTTCAACTTTAATGTCAGTTTTTTAAGGAAATGTCGGTAGCTTATGGTTCTTTACCATAAGCACGTCGACAAACTCAAYGTAAACAAGGATTCAGATTTGTAAACAGAGATTATTTAAGTTAAGAATAAGCAATTTAGTTCCCAAAGCTTTCTGTATATTCATARAAATCTCAGCTAAAAATAATACAATATTTTTTTAGGTGTTAATCCAAAAATGTACACTTTATGTCAAATTGTACATATAAAGCTATTTATCAGTACATTGTGGAATGTCACTTAACTGTAATCATGAAAATAAATATTGAAAGTTGATAATCATCTGTTTGATAACTTGACTTTGTAAACTKTCAAGTCAGAACAATTGCAATCAAATCAGACAAGCTATTRCATCAAYCATGTCTTGCAGTAAGTCTGTGCCTCATTGCATGCTCATCGTCAACGATGCTACAAGTAGTTTACTTTCTTAATGAAATGTTGTAGTTATCTTTATATTCAGATTTGAAGTAAGTAATCAATAATTGTACTCAAATATTTCTACTATGAAGTATATCTTTCAAAATTGACCTTTGTGTACATTCAAAGTCTAGTCAACCAGTAAGCATGTACATGGAGATATGATAATAATTTATGATATTAAATGGTCTCCCTGTTATACTCTGCACAAGATGTGTTTATGTTTTTTGCGAATACTGGCAGCAATTTTAAGAAAAAAATGACTTCTGTATCTTTTTCATTAATATTCACATAAAGTTTGCCACATGATAGATATTTATAACAATATTTTGTATGTTGTAAAGACATCTAAAATAATTTCATTCTTTACACATTATAACCTTTCAAGTATTGTATCATTTACAGGCTGGGCATATTTTGAATAACTTATCAGTGTTTTACAGGGTTATCTTAGATGACATTTGGTGATATGATAACTGTGTGATATAATAAATGGTGCAGGAAACAGCGAGACAGGAATCTTGTGATCCTGTTGTGTGAACAATTGAAACCAACATGTTGCTTCAAGGTTTTTTCTTACTCATGTTTTGCCATTAGTAATGCCTTATAAGTTGAATCAATTTATAACCAAATAATTTGAGACTCGTCCCATTCTATTCTATTGTCATAAAAGATAGAGAATTGTCCACCATTCATTTAGAAAACCACAACTAATAGCTACAGATTTTTATCATATTCTCAGTGTCCATTAAAGCAGATGCATTGAAACTTGATAATACTGTCAAATAAAAAGGAGTTTTTGCTGCCATTCTAAGGTATAAATTGTATCCTAGCAACTGCTATATCCATGAAAATAATTAGAAACTCCTCTGTTACATTTCCTGAAAAACTATCTAGTTTCTAAAATGACAAAATTCGAATTTGTCTGTTTTTGTTTTGTCAAATTTTCCATTTCCTATGTTTATGATATGTTATATATTTCTTGTTATTGCGTTTTAGGGTTGGTGTTGAATTTTGATTATACATGTAAATTGTCTAGCATAGCATGTGTTCTTTTTGTTGTTTATGAATTTGAATGTATCAGGTTTTYACTAGATTTTAATATAAAGTTACTGATTGTTTTGTTCTTAATAMGTTAGTAGTTAAAGAGGTCACAACATAGTTTATATATTTATACATCCAAATTTTAAGTGTATGGCTTTCTGATGTATTTTAATCTTATCACATTGTTGTTAAGCACTAAAGTTACCTAGAAACCTTGATTTTATTCTTATAACAGTGGTCAATGTGTCATCAAAATCATTTAATACCAAAATGGAGCAGCTTTATTTATAGAAATTGAAAATATTACTGACATTAAATTGTTACTACACTGTGATGTCCAGAATATTGTTATTTTATAAGGAGAAGACTAACATTATAGTTTAACGTAATTAAATATGCCTCTGCCTGCAAACATACACTTAAATTATGGCAGCTTAGGCTGAATATCATTATYTTTATCTTAATCCCATTCAATTTTCACTCCTCCCTTTCACCTATTTATGTATGCCTTTATGATGCCTATGAAAAGAAAACTTTGACATTCCATTTTTCCATGGTTTGCAAGTTAAACAGTCATAAAAAATGCTTTTAAATCATGCAATAGTTTTGTGAATTTTTATATTTTCAGCCTGCAGAGCACTACATACTTGAAAAACAGACAATCCACCTTGAAAAGGTAATACAATCATCACAATTTTGTATTGTTTTTTCCAATATTCTAATTTTATATTTGGGATGTTTTCCAGGCTAATGCTAATCAAGGGTTTGGGATTGCGGTGTCAGGAGGATTAGATAATCCGCACTATAAGACTGGTGACACTTCTATAGTTGTYTCTGACATTGTGACTGGCAGCCCTGCTCATGGCTTATTAAGGTACCTTATTTACTTGCAGCTTTCTATCACGTCTAACTTGTCAAAGATGGCTGCCACCTGGCTCTGATTAATACTCCAGTTTCAACTTCTCCAATTCTCTGTGTGTTAGCCTCATTTGTGCACAAAATATTCCTAATTGTCAGCATAAAAGTGTGAGATTTTAAATCAATTTTATTGTATAAAACAAAAGAATATGTTGCTCGGTTTCATATTGTAATAATGTTGTATTATAATAGTAGTTTGTTACTAGTTTACTTATGGAAATTGTACTAATTGTAATACTTTAGTAGAGACACATAGCTTTATTATTTTCTTTATCAGCTAAAGCAAAGAACACTATAATTAATACATTGGGAATTTTGTTACAGAGACAATGATATCATTGTACAAGTGAATGATGTGAATGTGGAACACTGCTATCACAGAGATGCTGTGCAAGCACTCAAAGATGCTGGTACCAGTGCACGCTTGGTATGTATTCATGCAGTTTTACAGGCATAGTTGCTTGAGTATTCCTACAAAATTTGTTTTACTTGTGGACTGAAAATATGACTTTTAACATGCTTGCAGATAATAAAGAGACGCAAGATAATGCCTCCTGGTGCCATACCAAGCGAAAGCAAAATGGACCGCTCATATCACGCAGCAACACTTCCTGAAAGAAGAAGTAAATCAGGTCCTCCTACATCARTCATTCACCTCAAGAAACCAGAGAAAGAAGGATTTGGTTTCTCCATGGCTTTCCGTTTGTACATCAAAGATGTGAAGCGAAAAGGAGCTGCACAYTATGGTGGATTGCAACGAGACCATGTTATCCAAAAGGTAAGGGTATTGTTATTACTATATTGTCATCAGCATCATTTTTGTGAACATTTTTGTCATCTTCTTTCAAAAAAATCAGTATAACAGGGCAAATTGTTGGATGGACATGCTGAAGCTCAAGTTTGACTTGTCAAAGTATTTTTTATCATTATCATTTGTGATGATTCGCAATAATTCAATTAGATTTTAATGACAGGGCGAATGTCATTGTAATATGTTACCTCTGATCACCATTAGATTAATGGAAGGAAGACTGAAGAACTCAGCTTAAAAGAAGCCATAGACATGGTGCGCAATTCACAAGACTTGGAGCTTGTTGTAGCTGARAAGAAGTTAGATAGGTACTCCAGTACAAAGTCTCTGCCATCAGTTGGAAAGAAAGGATATGAAAATGGATTTGATGGGTAAGCTGACTTTTAGTATTGTTGGTWTTCATTTTCTCTGATACAATACAATATATATTTAATGTATTATCTATAATAAGATTATACAATAATTCCAAATAAATGAATTCTGCTACTATATGGTGATGCAAGACCTCACTGAAGATCAAGAACTTACAATATTTCATTGTCAACAAAAAAATGCTGGAAACAGAAATTTCACATGTTGTAGCAAAACTTGCCAGTCCAGTATAAATCTCTTAGATTAGAATTATATCAAAGATGAATCAAATTCCATAAATATAGGCCAAGGCTTTGTATGGTATTATTTATTATTCAAAGAGTATGTAGTGTAGAATTGTTCAATCATGAGAGAATTATTGATTTTTATCAAGTCCAAAAGACGAGGAGCCATTAGACAGAAGGCGTGCAAAGTCCTTGGATAGACAATACATTAGAGATCAAAGACGTGCCAGGCGTCCAAGGTATATGTGCATGCTAGCAGCTGCATGGTTTATGCTATAACTCTGATATTCCTGGCAAAATGAAACGTTAAACTAAACCAAGTATTTTAGCATGATCTAAAACAGTTTGTAAATATTTGTAAATAGTAATAAGAATGGTAATATATAAAGCTGTAATATATAAGCTGTAAAATGCTTATAAATCTAATGTAGCATTGAACATTTGATTTGTACCTTGTGGATTAGTCAAAGTTAACAATACCATAAACTTCTAATATTTATTTCAGTGCATTGATGGATAGTATGCTTGTCATTGCTTCAAATAAAGCACTTGTTTTTAATATAATCAGATGATACAATAAATACCCTAGTTAATGTGTTATATTACATAGCCTTATAACAATTATAGATACAGTTCTACATCCACAATCGATTAGTTTCAGATGAATGAATAATAATTGTAATGTGATTTAAACTGACAAAACACTTCAGTTGTAAACAGACAAAAATAAATAACAAAGGGAACACACATACAAAGATTGCTAAATTTATATCAAGTAAAGTGAAACTTAAATAAATGATATTTCCATCTGTAAATGTGATGTGTTGAGGAAAGTTGTTGCAATCAGTCCATAGGTATATTTAACCAAACTCAATAAAAGCAAAAACGTTATTAGATAATGAAGAAATAAAATGATAATTAACTAACAATATAAAAATCAGCTAACAAATATCAACCAAACTAAACACATTCATTGCATGAATAAGTTGTATAAGGTGTTTTATAAGGACAATGTCAGGATTCAAAAACACTTCATTCTATAAGCCATCTTTTTCTGTATTTTTGATCCTTTTGGTCAATAAAGCCATACTGAATATCAATCAAAATACCCAGAAATACACCTCTTATATAGTTGCCTGTCTTTCTTCAAGATAGCTGTGACTTCAACAAAGCATGATGATTAGTAAGCTTTGATGATTGATACCTGTCAATCATTGACAGTGGCTGCACAAAGCCTTATAAATGCTATTCCACCAATCATCTTAGTCAAATGCAAAGACACAGCTACCAAACCAAGATGGCTCTAGGAAACTATAATTTSTGTTTTGGTTTTCTTTATTGTCCTTCATAAGCTCACCACTCTTTACCTGCATGTATTGACTAACTGTTCTAACCCTAATGATAATTTTTCTTAAGTGATAGTGACAAAGGGAAGGAAGATGGCGACAAACCTCTACATGATGGTTTAAGGTATTGATCCTCTTCTTGTAGTTTGTCATTCTGTTTAGTTTGTGATTGTATAGGAGTTCTTTGAATGTACTATTTTGTAATACATGATAGTACACTCCAAGAAACCTTTGTTATATCACTGTCATTTGTTGATGTAATATGTCATTGATTTCATTGATCTGGCTGTTTCTACTTGTGTTTGTTTRTGATTGTTTTAGTGGTATGTTTGATATTATATAACCATCCAGTAATGCATGCATCATTGCTAATCACTAATAATGTTGATTTTTTATTAATACTTAATTAGCAAACTCTAATTGCACCTTAAAATCATTTTTTGAAAGGTAATTAGGTCAGGGTAGTGACTGTATTTATATTTAGCAGTTAATAGCACAAGCAAGAACTATTTTGTTTTGCACTGCACTGTCGATTACTAGAATATACATAAGAACCTGCACAGTAAAATCGTTCATATATATGCACCATAAAGGACTTTTTTTATAAGCACATTATACAYAAAACTCTACTGGTTGCACATASTTTGTGTGGGATRTTTTTCTTCGTTCAAGGCTAWTTTCTTCATAATGTACAATGAATGGTGTTTTTCTTTTAATGAAAGCATCGAGGCACCAACTGTAGAACTTGAAAAACCCATTGAGCACAACTTTGAAAATGACATTAAACCAGTCGAGGTTAAACAGGAATTGAGGAATGCACCTGAAGARTTATTCAAAGCATTGGAGAGGTATTGCATCACCCTGGAAAACATATACTTAACTTGACAATATGCATTCATTATTGCGATTTAGTGATGATAGACATTTTATATATGATATAATCCATCARTATAATAAAGTCATGTGTTATTACAATTACCTATCATCACCTCTTTAGCCTAAATTGAAAAATTCAGGTTCTCATACATGGACTATTACTGTATTTTATACATTGCCACGGTAAGGCATTTTTTCATAACATAAATCATCATTGTAGGACTTGACATGTATAGTTATGTTAGTCATGATATTTAGTACTTAGATCTAGTTTATAGTTAAATTATTTAAGCTGAGAACCACTTTCAAAACATGTAGTGAATTTATGAAAATTGTGATCACTGTATTTTGGGTATTGAATTGATTTTTTTATTATTTCTTTTAGTGATAAACCACCAGAGGCTCCAGTTGTTGTCAAGCAGGAGGTTAAAGTAGAGGAATCCGTGCCAGATATCCCTCCAAGGTATGAAACATATAACAAGCTGTGCTTCATTAACCTATGTGGTTTCCATTACTTAATGTATCAGTGCAGTCACATTTACCAAACCAATCATCGCCACAGCACATTACTGGTCATCATATCTTTCTGGTCTTGTAGTGTGTCAATGCATAGTATTTTCTCAACATTGCTACATAATTTCCTTGACGTTGTAACATCAAACAGTACTTGTTTCTATCTGCAATGCTCAGTTCTCCAGTCATGTCCCAAATATTTCTTGTCATTCTTATATATTGTTTTTTTTTTTTCCATCAGGCGCTACAGTGATCCTGAACCACCCAAGCTTGATGAAGCAGACAAAGGCATGGAACCTTCATGGAAGCGTCTTGCACCTTCCCGTGATGATGATCGTGACAGTGACAGAGGACGTGAGAGTGAAAGACACCGTGATGATGATAGAGACCGTTATCGTGGTGATGATAGAGACCGTTATCGTGACGGTGGTCGAGATCAAGAGGAGAATCAGCCTTATGTACCTCAACCTGCTGATGGTATGTCTTCCTGTTGAAATATTACTTGATAAAGTACTTACAAAAAACTAAGATATGAAAAGATAAATAAAAAAGAATAGAAAATATGAAGACTGTTGTTGTGATGAGTTTATTGCTATTTTTTAGTTCTTAATTTTTTGAATTTTTTGCTGGCAGGAACAATCTGTTTTCCACCAAATTTATAGTATATAGTCAACTTTAATTTCCAAGCAGGCAATGAAAAATCCTGATATTGTTTTTCAGTTACACGTACTGCAGGCCATGTAGATCTCACTATGAATTCCTGGGATCAGGGTTTGTCGCCTGGTCGAGGACGATCAGATGACCACTCCCGAGGTAGTACCCCTCAAAGTCAAAGGAAAGAAAAACCGGCTGATTTCATCCAGTAAGTTTCTTTGATTTTCATCTTTCATTATATAAAACTAATGTTGTATTGTTATCCTTAGTGACAGGGACACCAAATCCATCTTGTTCCGTAAGGAGGGTAGTCTTGGTATTCAAATTCAAGGAGGAAACAAAGTTGGCATCTTTGTTAATGCTGTTCGTGAGAACAATCCTGCTTATAAGCAAGGCCTACGACGTGGTGATCAAATCTTGATGGCAAATGACATTGACTTCAAAGACATCACACGAGAAGAAGCAGTTCTGCTTCTATTGTCCCTTGGTGATGAAGTGTCCTTGTATGCAAGGCCCAAAATGTCAAGTAAGATATGTTTTTTGTTGCTAACATTCTTGTTGTTGCAGCTGTTGTTACTGTTGTTGTTATTGGTGGTGTTGTTTCTGTTTGTGGTGTTGTGGTTTTTGTTGCTGATATTGGTGTTGTTGCTGCTGCTGTTGTTGTTGTGGTTTTTGTTGTTGTTGTTGTTATTGGTGTTGTTGTTAATTAATTGTGTTGTTCTTTCTGTTGTTGGTGTTGTTGTTTTTTGGTGGTGTTGGTGTTTAAGTTATTGATGTTGTTGCTTTTGTTGTTGCTAATATTTGTGCTGATTTCTAAATGTATCATATATTTATCTTACAGCTTATGAAAGAATCAAGAACAGCCCTGGAGACTCCTTCTACATTAAGTATGTTTTATGCTCTTCTTGTATATGAATCTTTTCAATGTCCTACACATACTTSGTTTGTGTTAAAATAGCATTTCTCCAGCTTACCCTCATTCCCATCAAGCAACAAAGATGTATTTTGTATCACTTGACTTGCTGTCTGTCTGTAGTATGTTTTGTTGATAATAATGTCCATGTCTTTGTAGATGTCATTTTGACTATATTAAAATGAAGCCAGAGGAGTTAGACATGAACTGTGAGGATGTGTTTCATGTTTGGGACACTATGCACAATGGCATGATAGGATCCTGGCATGCACAAAGGGTCACTCTTAGCAATGATGAAACAGAAACTGGTATMATTCCCAACAAATGCAGGTAAATCAAGGCAAAGTAACTTCATCATTCTGTTTATATTGCTATCTTGTTAAAGTATATCATTGTTATGTAGAAAGCTAATCTTATCAAAGACAACTGTCTTGAACTTTGTTTACGCAAAGAAAAGTCCACCATAAACTGTATATTCTGATTTCAATAAAACATTGTTTTTATATCAGAGCTGARCAGCTTGCAACAGTCCGCCAAGTTGAAGAAGACAAAACMCCAAAGAAAGCACAGCGTACACACTCCCTGAAGAGAATCAAAGATGCAGGRCTTAAGAAGCACAAGTCCACTGATAGACTAGACACAGAATCTTTTTGTTAGTATTGTTTTATTATATATTTCTTTTTCTTTACTGTGGTGCCAAGGTGGCACTTTTCAAATTATTATACACTATGTAATACAGTTAAGTTATTGGATAGTTGTCTTTTAGGACAAGAAAGACGGAAGTATAAATAATGTTTGACAAGACAGACTGTCAGGTAGATAGACCAGTAAAATTAGAAGCAAAACGTTTTTGTAGCGGCTATTTACATTTAAACACAGCTTGAGGCAGGCAGAGAAGGAATTCTTATCASAGTGAGTTTAACGCTACATTAACTATACACTATTCTATATTTTTTTTTCTTTTAATTCAGCCAATGTGTCGAGAGAGTTCAAGTTACCTGCATATGAGCGAGTTAGCCTTCGTAGTCCTGGTTTTGTGCGTCCTGTCGTGCTTCTTGGTCCAATTGCGGACATCACAAGAGACAAACTTCTACAGGACATGCCAGATGTATTTGCTGTTCCAAGTAAGTAGTTACAGTAATTTGTTGCTATGACGACAAGAATGACCGAGATCGTGGTCGCTATGACGACGATAGGGATCTCGGTCGCTATGACGTAGTAGTATACGTAGTAACAGTAATTTGTTGCTGTGGAAACTATTTCTAAGGCTGTTAATTTGTTTGTAGCTGCATTTGGAGGAACGCTACCRGACGGCATCAAAAATCCTTTGAATACGTCACGCAGAACAATCAACTATGGCTCAATCAAAGCAGTTGTTGATAGTGTAAGYTYACTGTTCTTATWTTAACCCCTTCCTGACTGAACTGTATATTTTGTGATTTTCTATCCATCCTACTCTTTTTGASYTATCGKAACCAAATACGTGTTGTTTGATGTGTTGTTTCATTATTATCTTCCAATTGATGTACTGTATAACCTTATAGGGCAAGCACTGTGTAGTTGATATTGCACCTGACGAGGTTGAAAGGCTTAATTACTGTCAGTTTTACCCGATTGTGATCTTCCTGAAGGCTCCAAATAAGACTGCTCTCAAGTGAGTAAAATAGATAATATAGAATAACTGTAATAGCTTCACGATATCTTACATTGTAAGATAAGATATTCTTTCTCTTTTTGTTGTTTCTACTGTTGCTGGGTTTCTTATTGTTAATATACACTTTTTACTGCCGTTGTCATTGTTGCTGCTGTTGTCATTGTTGTCATCAGTTGTTGTTGCTGCTGTTGTCGTTGTCATTGTTGTCATCAGTTGTTGTTGATGCCGTTCTTGTCGTTGCAGTTATTATAATCAATATTTGTCTTGATTTTGTTCATCAGGGATTTGCGTACACAACACGGTTCGACAGCTAAGAATGTAAAGAAAATGTACGACAACTCCGTGAAAATAGAGAATGTCTATTCCAACATGTTCTCTGCCACCATTCCTGCCAATGGAGATTGGTACACCAGGGTCAAGGAAGAAATACGTCGACAGCAAGATCGACGCGTTTGGATGTCTGAAGACAAGGTATTCAGTGGTTCACCAGTCATAATTATCGTTGTTAATCATCATCATCACCGTCATCTTTGTCATCACCATCATTATAATAAACTATAACAAATGGTAGACGTGTTTTTAATTCGTGTAGTTTGTCTTTCGAAAAGACGGMTTGTCTGGAGAACGGTTGAAAAATAAATACATTTCGGTTTAATATCATACAAATGCATGAACACGGCGTTTCAGTGGGCTGATCATTTGGTTTTCTTTTAATGTATTCTACATGTTTGTAGTTTGAAGACGAAGATATGGAGTTCCGTTTGCATCCAAGTCGTTATTCCACTGGCCATGAGTACGATCCACATAACGATTCTCCAACGAATCGTTCAAGTGTTTCACATCCACCAGATGAAGAAATCCACGTCCAATCAACCAAAGAACTAGAAAGTACTCCAACACAGATGTACAATGGACCGGAAGTAGAATATCGTCCCTATGAAGATGATCGTAACCGACCTCGATATGATGAAGGACGTGGTCGCTATGACGACGARAGGGACCGAGATCGTGGTCGCTATGACGACGAGAGAGACCGAGATCGTGGTCGTTATGATGATGAAAGGGACCGAGATCGTAGTCGCTATGACGACGATAGGGATCGTGGTCGCTATGACGACAGGGATCGTGATCGTGGTCGATATGACGATGATCGTGGTCGCTATGGTGACGAGATTCCATATGATAGTGACGTAGACCGTGCAAGTAAGCCAGGGTACAAGCCTGTTGGAAATGTTGTCAAGTAAGTTATTGTTGCTGTACTTACTGGTTAATACTACTACTATAGATTGACTGATAGATTGAATCGTTGATTGTTTGGTGTCGACAGAGTTCTTCCCTCTTCACAAGAACCTGGTGAGTTGAGACAATCTCTGCGGAAAACACGTCCAACATCACAGGACTTTGCCGACCATCCACCAGACTTACGTGATGGAGACGATATGACTGGACGAGAAGGCCTGAGGAAGAGTGACTATGAGCCTCGATATGATGGGCCAAACCCTAGTGAACTTGAGCTGAAGTATACGGCTGAATCATTGCGTAAAGTTGAAGCCAAGCCCGATCTTTTGGATCAGTAAGTGACTGATATCATTATTGATTGATGTATTTAGTGATTAGCAGATTGATCGACTGACTGACTGATGTCATTATTGTTTCATTGATTATCAGATTGATTGATCGACCAATTTGTTTCTTCTAGATATGATGAGCGAGTTGGAGTCAAAGTATCAGAACTGTTTGCTATCGACAAAGAGTTACAGCGAGATCGTGGTCCACCTAAAGGAGACAGACAGATACAACCAGTGGAAGTGGCCCCTGTTCAGAGCAAACCTGATGACTTAGACATTAAACTTCGGGAACTGGAAAACTCTATTCCAAAATCAAAGCCCCTGGAACCAGCACCAAAGCCTCGATTTGAATCGAAAACACGCAATGTAATAATCGATAATCGATCGGGAGGTCGTCCGACGTCCGAAGTACGCACGACGTTTTACCCTCGGAATACSTTTGCTACAGTGACACACGTATCGAGCAAATCGGAGCCGGAAGTTCGTGCACAGGTCGTTGATCGTATAGARAGTGCTCCTGTGGAGAATGGTTATCGCAGCTTACCTCACAGCTATGGTAGAAGAACCGAACCTGTGTACCGCACTGAATATACTTTACCTAGYAGCAGGAAACCAGAAAGACCAAAATCAGCGTACGGATACTCATCTCAGGCTTATGCACCTAAACCATATGGTACTGAACAACGATCAGCATCCCCGCCACCTCGCCCTGCACAGCCTACCAATTACGATTATAGACTTTCCAAACAAATWCGTGAACCCGAACCTCGTCCGGGAACATATCGATCAGATTACAGACCTAAGGACTATGATTCGTACAGAGATGAATCTCAAGTAATCACAAGGTACCGATTCACAATCGATTTAGATACAGACTATGCAATCGAAACGATCAAGTATGGTCTTGGTTTCTCTTTGTGATAATATTTTGTTTCTTTGAGCTTGTGAAGCTATGAAGGGTTTGAAATATTTATTTATTATTTATTTTTCAGTGACTTCGAGTCTCTTGATGACGATACCCAAGTAGTGGCCACAGCACGAGGAACCTTCACATCAGAGGGGGGTGTTYTATCATCTCCAGAGACYGGTGTTAGTATTCATATCCCTCAAGGTGCAATTGAACCTAATAAAGAACAAGAAATTTACTTTAAAGTCTGCAAAGATAATAATATCATGCCACCATTGGATGCTGACAAAGGTATGTCACTCGTGCTTAGATATTTAATAATATCCCTGCCTATCCCGTAAGGCTTAGTCCCTGATTTTTCTTCAACTATTAAACTGTGTATTTGTAATGGTAGGCGAGACTCTTCTTAGCCCATTGGTGATGTGTGGACCTCATGGCACTCAATTCTTAAAACCAGTGGAACTTCGACTTCCACAYTGTGCGTCTATGACACCAGATGGCTGGTCATTTGCACTCAAGTCTAGTGACACACCATCAGGTAGGTAACCAACCTGTAATATCATGAAATATGGAAACTACCACTTGGAAAACACTTTAAGCAGAATTATTTAATTGTTTTGGAAGTATACCRACATGGAGGCGAAATATCYCACAAACTTCATGACAATACAAAGATTAAAAAATAACAGGGTTTCTTTGTTTCATTAGGAATGCCAACRTCCTGGAAAAACGTCTCTCTTCCTGGACAAGAGAACAAAGACAAGTGTCAGGTGGATCCCAACAGCGTCTCTGTACTTGTTGATCATTTTTGAATTCTCCTAACATTAACAATTCTATAGCCCTGCCCTACCCCCCTTCATAGTCTATATTTTTATAGTCGGTCACAGGAAGCCCAACACAGCACGGTTTTCATTCTGGAAGTATACAAACCTTCAGGGTTTTAAGATTTTTATAATAAACGTACTTTACACCGGGCTTCCTGTGCTATACTTAAATGGTTAAAAATGAAAAAAAAACTTCTTAATGAAAACAATGATTGAATAAGTATTTTATCACAATGGAAATTGTAGTATGTAGATTACGTGACGCCAAGTCACGSCATAACGTGACATGAATTACRTCACTTCRTAACGCAAGCAATCTGTTCGTGAAGTCAGACGAACTTATAAGAATCTAAATAACTGTTTTATACACTAAACGCAGCCRTATTGTTGTTGGGCATTATGTGCCAGTTCTTTTTATACTTCTATAGTAAATTAGTTTGCTCAAATAGCAGCGAAAATTCTAGTGGTTTAATGTATTCTTTAGTTTTCAATGTAACCATTTACCAATGTGTTATAATGATATTGTAAAAGTTGATTGTAATCAATAAAATAATTGCAGGAGAGTAAAGTTGGAAAGAGAATTCGCTTTGGGGTTCCTGTGTAGGAAGTAGAGAATTGTGAGTCGGTGGGAGTTGATGGAAATGAGACTTTCAGTCAATTTAGCACAAAACACGAAAGTTAGCTTTTTTGATACCACTTAGACTCGCTTTGAGTTTTCCTTGGGTGCTAATATCAAACGTACACTGTTTCTTGTTTGTTTATATTGGTTTGAGTTTTCCTTGGGTGCTAATATCAAACGGTTTCTTGTTTGTTTATATTTTTGGGATGAAGGATATGCCGAGAGAGAGAGGAAGTCCTTTATCAAGTACTTATTGTTTATTAATGATACAGTTACAATCAGTTACCTCAAAGAACCACAAATAATAACTAAACAGAGTCACATCAAGAAGATAACATTATATTTGATCCTCCGCTTGTGAAATCCCAGTCACGTTGCTATTATCGGTATCTCGGTAGATCTCTAGGTTTATTACAGTTATTAAGAGTGATTTTCGTAAAGGCGCGAAACTTTTCTGGTCACGTGTTCACTTAGAGTAAGTTATTGTTACACGGTCGTTCAAGTAAACCTTTTCGACAAGTTCAAATAGCTGCTTTTWTCATACCTTACCGATTTAAAAAATAATTTCCATGCATTTCTATTTGACTGTGCATCTTAACTGTTCGTCTAATATTTCACTACAAAACAGTGCTATTTCAAACTCAGATAAACGAGGCGAAATTTATGCTGAAAGTTTCTGGAGTTGTTGCCTCGATCGAGTCTCCTAACATGAGTCTTTGTTGTGAGTGTTCTCTGGTGATACTCTCTGCCTTGCACGTAAAGGAGACGGAATCAGTGTTGTCAAAAAACGAACTCTTTTCTCTTTCTTGAAATAAAGATAGATCCACGGGTTTATGGCAGCGTGTGCGCGGGTCATGTAAATCGCGAAGAAAGTGAAGGTAAAGAAAGAGCACGTCAAAGGTGTACGGAGTTTCCAGAGGAACGTGAAGAGGATGATAATCATGAAGTACGGTCCCCAGCAAACACCAAACGCAGTRACGATGGCGATCATCATGTTCTTGATATGTCGATGTTTTTTAAGGTTTTTGAGGTTSCCATTAGCTTCATCTTTGTTACCAGTAGCACCCAGTGACTTGAACAGTTGGCGTAGCTTGATGACTATGGCTGCATTCAGGGCTGATAGGATCACGAATGGAAGGATGATGATAACAAAGCAAGTTGTTGCGTTGAAGATATAGTACGACTGGCGACTTTCAAAAAATGGACCGCCACAGAAAGATGCGTTATATCCAGGTCTGTACACAAGGCCGAAAGTGAAGAAAAAGTGAAAATCGTAAACCATTGGAATCAGCCAACTTAGWGCTATCAGTAGTGGATTGACCCACTTTCCTCTCGTCTCGCGTTGATTTTGGAAAGGATGTTTTCTTTCTACAATCACAACCATGATAAACCTCTCGATGGTTATAATACACAGTGATGTAATGGATACTAGAGATACCACATCACCAAAATACATCAGAACTTTACACATGATATCACCCGCTYTGCCTGGAATTGACCACGAGTACGTGTTGGTAATTCTGTCATGAAGGGCCTTTGAAACGACCAGGATAGCTACCAGGACATCAGAGACAGCCATATTGGTAATCAGCGCATCTACCAACGTACGTGTCTTGTTCCTGTAGAACTTTGCAACGATGAGAAGATTCCCACTCAAAGCTGCCACAAACACAAAAAAATAGCCAAAGATTTGGCACATCTTCGATGCTGGTGAGTCAAGAGAATGGCACACGTCGACAAAACCAGCACTGGTCGTTGTATTGTTCATGGTTGTCTCTTACTAAGGCCGTTGGTGCTGAGAATGTATTCTGACTTGTGGATCTGTAATTTCTGGTTCTTATAGACTGCAGCGTTTATTGACATGAACCACTATTGTGACTGAGACTTTGTTGTTCCATTCATCTTGCACAGATTAAAGGTCATTTGTGCTCGTTGAACTGTTCTTGCACAATGATATGATTTGTTTTGCATTCCTTTGTTTCCGTACCTCCTCTAACAGGACATCCTCTGATTTTTCTTCCTGTTGTTTTTTCGTTTTCTACACTTCTTATAGTTGATTGGTTAAGAGACAGTTTTATTGCCTGGAATTGGTCGATGGTTGGTGTTGTTGTTTGGTTTGTTGATAGGTTGTTGATTGAATAGTTTGTTGGTAGTTTTATCGATTTATAGTTCGATTAGTTGATTTTTTGGGAATTGTTCTATGTTTATTATTTGATTGGTTGATTGACAAGTGGATATAGCGAACACCCCTTTTTCCCTTTGCATCTGAGTGAGCTTACTAGGGGATTCAATCTACCGCAGATAATATCAGATCCAAGTCAAAAGGTTGGTAGTAATCTTCCTTTATTTATATTTGTTTTGAGAAAAATTTCGAGTACTTTCGGAAGAGCAATTGTCTGTACCACCAGAAAAGAAAACTGGATTTTGTGTCACGTGGGGTGTTTACCATTTACACAAAATTTCCGGAAATTTTCGGATCAGTGATCAAAAGTTTCGAGTCAGTGAGCATGACGTATTAGAACTTTCCAAATATGGCTTGCAATCGGATTAGGGTTTTATAATGATTGGCGCATTTTCATGCAGCTCAATGAGCCTCATTTAAAACGAAATGGAGGTTAACTTGCTTAGAACTTTAATGTTGGTTGAATCTGCTGCCTGATGAAATTGAAAATTCATTTTTGACAACAAAGAAACAAGAATAACCCTTATGGGATTGCTGGTATGGTATGGTATGGTATACCTTTATTTAACCACGGTTAAAACTTCAKCTRCRTGACATTAAAAGTAAAAATAAAAATTTTACAAGTATTTGTCAATACTGTTTTTCAAGTTTGCCGTGGGTGTGCACAGGATTTATAAGAAGAATCCATTTAGTTGCTTTTTAAAATCAGCCAGCGACCTCGCTGTTCTCATATCGCAAGTCAGACCATTCCACAGAACGGCTCCCGAGTACCCTAGGCTACGCTTTAGGTAATTAGTTCTCGGTTTGGGGACATTTAGAATGTTCTCTGAGTTTCTAAAGTTGTAGAGTGATTGGCGATATGAGAACATATCCATGAGGTATTTAGGTGCTAGAGAGTTAACAGATTTAAACATAGTAATAGCCTTTTGTTTCTCACGTGCTACAGAGACGGTATCCCAGCCCAGCATGTCAAGAAGCGGCTTGGCGCTTTCATCGAAACTGGATCTAGTGACTATTCTAGCTGCTCTGTTCTGTAGTTTCTGTAGCTTGTCGTCCAGTTTTTGGCTTATTCCATCAAAAACTGGGCTACAGTAGTTGAAATGCGGTTCGATTATTGCTTTATAGATTTTTGCTGCTGTAGCCTGGTCAATAAAACATCTTACACGCTTAAGGGCGCCAATCGCAGAAGATATCTTTTTTGAGATATAATTGACATGCTCAGCCCATGACAGAGTCTCATCTATGATAACGCCTATAGATTTTGTTTTCGAGACTTGTTTTATTTTGGAACTCTCTATGTGTATGTCGATAGGCGCATTTGCTTGCGTCATGAGTCGTTGTCGAGAGCCGATGGTCATAAATTCGGTCTTAGCCACATTAAGACTAAGTTTATTAGATTTTAACCAGATGTTAACATTTGAAAGCTCTCTATTTATCAACGTTTGCAACTCATGTTTTGTCTGAGCCGCAAAGCTTATGCTAGTATCGTCGGCATACATTCGAGAGTGTCCTAGACCTATTGAGTTTGGTAGGTCGTTGATATAGATTAGGAATAACAATGGCCCTAATAAGGTCCCTTGAGGTACCCCGACAGAGAGATTTCTATCTTTAGATATATGGCCATTTATGCTACAGTGCTGTTGCCTGTTTAGTAAGTAAGATTCAAACCATGGGAGGGTGTTCCGGTCTATCCCATACACTTTGAGCTTTTGAATTAGAATTTTGTGGTCTATCGTGTCGAAGGCCTTTTTAAGATCTATAAAAACAACACCGTTTATTAGGCCTTTATCAATATTGACACACCAGCTGTTGTTTGCATCAATCAAAGCAGTCAAAGTGCTGTGAAGGGACCGGAAACCCGACTGGTTGTTTGCGAGAAGATTGTTTGTAGCTAGATATCGATAAAGCTGGTTATGAACTAGTTTTTCAAAGATTTTAGCTACAATGGGAACTACAGAAATAGGTCTGTAGTTATTGGGGTCGGATTTAGTTCCAGCTTTATAAACAGGAGATACCCTAGCTACTTTCCAGTCCTCTGGAAAGATTCCACTGGACAGGGAACAGTTAAAGATCTTTGTAAGCGATGGACTAATTATATTACCTGCTAGTTTTAAGAGTTTTGCAGGGATTTTATCTGGTCCAGTCGCCTTTTTAGAATTAAGGTTTTGTAAAAGGAGAAGCACATCCTTATTTGTTACTTCATGAAAGCTAAAAGAGCTACTAACAGGTTTGAGGTACGAAAGAGGATCAATATCTGTATGGGAGATTGACTGAGCTAGATTTGGACCCACATTTGTGAAGTGAGAGTTGAAAGCTTCGGCAATACTTGTGGGGTCTTTTAGAGTAGCATCACCCATTTTAAGCTCAGAGATTGAACCCTTAACGCTCTGCCTATTCTGTAGCTCGTTTAGTAACTTCCAAGTTTTCCTTTGATCTTGCACGTTTGCCTCAAGATTTTCTGTATAGTATTTGCGTTTTGCAATCTTGATACAATTGTTTACATCATTTCTAGATTTTTTGTATTCGAGCCAAAGATCTGGGTCATTTGTCATGGCATGCTGGCGCTTTAGAAGGTCTCGCTTTCGCATTTTGCGCACAAGATCATAGTCAATCCAAGGGGATTTCTTGGCTCTGACTCGTTTGTTCCTAATTGGTGCGTGCTTGTCAATGGTGTCCATGAGATTTGCCTTCCAGCCTTCCCATTGCGCATTCGGGTTCTCACCATGACACACCCAGTTCTTTTTCTCTAGATCTGCTAAAAAGTTAGCTTCGTTAAATAGTTTCCATTCTCTGGTTTTAATAGTTTTGTGTCCGCCATTGCGAAAACTATTGGATTTACGAATCATGAAAACAAGAGAATGGTCGCTAATGCCTAGATGGATTACACCAGAATGCTTTATTTTGTCTACGCAGTTGGTTATGCAGTGGTCTATAAGTGACCTGGATGAAGCTGTGATTCTGGTTGGTTTCGTGATAAGCTGAGCTAACCCATATAATTCTAGTATATCCCTCAAATGCTTGGCATTTGGGTCATTTGCACNGCCCATGACAGAGTCTCATCTATGATAACGCCTATAGATTTTGTTTTCGAGACTTGTTTTATTTTGGAACTCTCTATGTGTATGTCGATAGGCGCATTTGCTTGCGTCATGAGTCGTTGTCGAGAGCCGATGGTCATAAATTCGGTCTTAGCCACATTAAGACTAAGTTTATTAGATTTTAACCAGATGTTAACATTTGAAAGCTCTCTATTTATCAACGTTTGCAACTCATGTTTTGTCTGAGCCGCAAAGCTTATGCTAGTATCGTCGGCATACATTCGAGAGTGTCCTAGACCTATTGAGTTTGGTAGGTCGTTGATATAGATTAGGAATAACAATGGCCCTAATAAGGTCCCTTGAGGTACCCCGACAGAGAGATTTCTATCTTTAGATATATGGCCATTTATGCTACAGTGCTGTTGCCTGTTTAGTAAGTAAGATTCAAACCATGGGAGGGTGTTCCGGTCTATCCCATACACTTTGAGCTTTTGAATTAGAATTTTGTGGTCTATCGTGTCGAAGGCCTTTTTAAGATCTATAAAAACAACACCGTTTATTAGGCCTTTATCAATATTGACACACCAGCTGTTGTTTGCATCAATCAAAGCAGTCAAAGTGCTGTGAAGGGACCGGAAACCCGACTGGTTGTTTGCGAGAAGATTGTTTGTAGCTAGATATCGATAAAGCTGGTTATGAACTAGTTTTTCAAAGATTTTAGCTACAATGGGAACTACAGAAATAGGTCTGTAGTTATTGGGGTCGGATTTAGTTCCAGCTTTATAAACAGGAGATACCCTAGCTACTTTCCAGTCCTCTGGAAAGATTCCACTGGACAGGGAACAGTTAAAGATCTTTGTAAGCGATGGACTAATTATATTACCTGCTAGTTTTAAGAGTTTTGCAGGGATTTTATCTGGTCCAGTCGCCTTTTTAGAATTAAGGTTTTGTAAAAGGAGAAGCACATCCTTATTTGTTACTTCATGAAAGCTAAAAGAGCTACTAACAGGTTTGAGGTACGAAAGAGGATCAATATCTGTATGGGAGATTGACTGAGCTAGATTTGGACCCACATTTGTGAAGTGAGAGTTGAAAGCTTCGGCAATACTTGTGGGGTCTTTTAGAGTAGCATCACCCATTTTAAGCTCAGAGATTGAACCCTTAACGCTCTGCCTATTCTGTAGCTCGTTTAGTAACTTCCAAGTTTTCCTTTGATCTTGCACGTTTGCCTCAAGATTTTCTGTATAGTATTTGCGTTTTGCAATCTTGATACAATTGTTTACATCATTTCTAGATTTTTTGTATTCGAGCCAAAGATCTGGGTCATTTGTCATGGCATGCTGGCGCTTTAGAAGGTCTCGCTTTCGCATTTTGCGCACAAGATCATAGTCAATCCAAGGGGATTTCTTGGCTCTGACTCGTTTGTTCCTAATTGGTGCGTGCTTGTCAATGGTGTCCATGAGATTTGCCTTCCAGCCTTCCCATTGCGCATTCGGGTTCTCACCATGACACACCCAGTTCTTTTTCTCTAGATCTGCTAAAAAGTTAGCTTCGTTAAATAGTTTCCATTCTCTGGTTTTAATAGTTTTGTGTCCGCCATTGCGAAAACTATTGGATTTACGAATCATGAAAACAAGAGAATGGTCGCTAATGCCTAGATGGATTACACCAGAATGCTTTATTTTGTCTACGCAGTTGGTTATGCAGTGGTCTATAAGTGACCTGGATGAAGCTGTGATTCTGGTTGGTTTCGTGATAAGCTGAGCTAACCCATATAATTCTAGTATATCCCTCAAATGCTTGGCATTTGGGTCATTTGCACCTGGTAAGAAATTGCAATTTGTATCACCTAAGAGGTATATCTCCTTGTACTCTGCATCTACTTTGGCAATAACATTTTCAAAGGTGTCAAATACGGAGACAGGTGATTCGGGTCTATACCAAGTACTAACGAGAAATGATTTAGAATTTGGTTTAGAGATTTCTATAGTAAGACATTCGATGGTATTTATGCGATGTGCATTGCCAAGAAACGAAGGTTTTTTTTGAAGTTGTCATCCAAAATATTGCATCATCTTGGAAAGCCACTTTAGGATGACAAGAAGAACTTTCGAGTTGCTAGCACAAAACATCGCCCAAACAGGCAAAATGCCCACAGCTAATAGGTTTGGAAAAGCACCAATACCTTTGGAAAACAAGTCCTCATTTTTCTCTGGTTTCTGGCCAACAACGAGGTTATGAGATCGGTATCGGACCGTTTTACTTTTTTTTGCAAAGCTCAAAATATCTTCACTTTCTTTTTTCCAATATTTTCCCCTTCTTCAGTAAAAGCAATTTCAAACTTTGATTAATCCTCAAAGAATGCGTGCGCGCTGACGTGCTGTTGCTCACAGTACTGTTACTACTAGTTATTTGGCGATTTAAAATATATTTTCATATATTTTCAAGTAGTTCTTTTTGAAGTTTTTGCACATAGATTGAATCTATTGATTGAGCTGGAAGAATCTCTCTTTATTGTAATTCTCTTAGGATTGCTCTCGGTTGTTTTGACTTAACTGTCGTGCATTTTAATACAGCTACTCTCTCGACCAACTTTCTTAATCATGAACGGGAAGAAAGAGAGTACTCTTTGACCAGCACCAAAGTTTACCGGAAATTCTCGTTGAAAATTTKGAATGGRATGYGTTCCAATAAGCTTCAAAACGGAATTCCCGATAATTTGTTATGCAAATAAATCGGAAAAAGTGTGTTCCATTTACAATTGTGGTCAAATACGAGAAAATGACATTGCCCTATCACTAATGAACGCAAATATCTAATTTTTGTCGATTTTCAATCGTTAGTGACTTGATTAAATATCCAATATATATGTTAACGACTTTTGTGCTCAACACCGCATTGGCAATATAGAAGAATGACTTCTATAATTATTACATTTTCATGTACTTAGAATGTTGAAGTTTCAAACGTAAACAAAAATCCCTCAAGTGTCATGAATTATGAAGATACACTTGATGCTCGCTTGGAATCCTTCTCAAAGTGCAGCCTAATATAGTGAAAGTACTAAAATATTTACGTCCACTGGCAAAACGAGTGAGTCTGTCATAAGTCCTTTGTATATTGTTAGAATCAATAAGTGTTCTTGTGGTTATTTTTTCATCAAACTTTTATTAATGTTAATAACGATCAGTTTACAATTAATCTACAGAAAGCAGGTACTTGTAGCATATGCAGTTAGTCAGACCAACCTGATCTCGACGCATAATGGCACTATGGTTTCTTGCTACACTTCTTGGATTTTACCTTGGATTGCTTCACTCTACTAGTAAGTGATGTTAATAATTTCTAGAATTTAGAAATTAAATTATGAAGGTAACTTTTGGCCATATAATAAAACAGTGATCATAATAGTCCATTATACCGACCATGAGACTGACATAATTTTCAGTATGAGAATTATTGCCATCGATCAAGATGTAGAAATACGTCTCCACTCAACCTAGTTCAGTGTATACGTGAAAAATGGTTTGTTTGGAATAACAAAGTGATACAATGGGTACAAACTGTTCGAATTGTGTGAGATTGCACAAGAATCGCTATGGATTATTTGTAGTCTAGTTTATCTTTTTTGTATTTCATTTCTCGTTTGATTGTAGTTACTTGTTGTATAATGTCTCTGTTGTAATTCTTTCAATGTTTTGTGGTGTGGCTTTGTCAGGCTAAAATAACTACATTCGATATTCCATTAAATGAAATACATGCAACTACCGCTTATTAACCACACCTTATCTTTAATCGACCTCCATTTCTCCGATTGACTGCGCTGTTTCATAAACGATTTGCTGTTTTTCAATATTGTCATTTTAAGTAACATCTTAGCTTCAAATTCTTCTCTCTAACAAGATTTCTCTTTGGAGGTCTGTTGTTTATTGAGAAAAAGGAGTGGCTTGTCTAGTATGCGATCATGTAATCCTGTCAGTTTGTCATATCAATTTGCCTCCAGCAGTGAAATCTAGTTAAGACGAACTTGCTGTGGTCTGTAGATCGTATTATTAAGGCTTTCACTTGGCATAACTAATGATAAGATGATAGTGATGAATAATTAATGATCACTCAAGATGCTCACTTACCTTACACGCTTTTAAAAAGAGCTTCGTTTCGCTTTGTCTTCCACTAAATAATGGGAACGAATGGATGGATGAATGAATGCTAGAATTAAAACATTAGTGAATCTAATTAAAACACACCAATTAATGAATGAATGAGCTTTATCACGCAACGGTGAACGGAAAAAATGTGCATATAGAATTAGTAGTAAAAGTAGGAAATGAAATATAAATGACGTTTTTTAATGGAAATTTTCATTTTACTTTTAAAGGCTCAGCGCTGGAATGCCTTGAATGGGGGGTCAAACCAGTCGAAGCTAAAAATGTATCTTGCGATGGTGATTGCGTGACTGTAACGATCGAAGGATGGAACAGAATCACAAGACAAGAACTTTCAGTCTCTATAGGAATGTGTGACATCAAGGGATGTAACACAGCATGCGATAAGGCCGTCAATTCGCTGAGAAACTTTGACGTTAAGAATTGTAACGCTAAATGCTGCAACCAAGACTTATGTAACGCAATGTATGCTTCCCCGACTCCAATAAAGGAAACAATTAAAACTGAGCAGAAACACAAAACAATGAAACGTGCAACTCGTGGAGCAACAATACAACAAGATGGCGGCTTTACTGGTCTACAGTGTTATAAATGTCGAGAAGGGACTGATTACCAAGACTGTTACAATATACAATCAATAGAATACTGCGGACCAGAGCATAATTCCTGCTTCAGTATCACAGGTACACTGTCACGCCAGTTTGATAAAGTTGTCACGCATAGAGGGTGTGGTCTTGAGACAGTAGATTGTAATATCACTCAACTTTGTACTGATACTCGTAATAAACTCTTCGTCAATCATGACGTTCACATGGAGACCTGTAATGCCTATTGTTGTAAAGGACACTTTTGTAACAGATATATCCCAACACGACCAACCGCTGGTCAACAAACAAGAACCCCAATTAGTACCAGGCCACGACGGACAGTAAAACGTTCCCAGTCTCCTCCGGTGAAGTGCTATGAATGCAAGCCAGATACGTTCAGCAGAATGTGTAAAACAAACGACACAGAACGTTCTTGCGTGACAGGTCGCTATGGTTACGATGGATGCTTTACAATGACTGTCACGATTRCTAATGCAACGAGCGGTGAGGTAGGTTAACATTGGCTGGCTATAGTTGGTTTGATTGGTCGATTGATGGATGGATGGATTGATTGATTGATTGATTGATTGATTGATTGATTGATTGATTGATTGATTGATTGATTGATTGATTGATTGATTGCTTGCTTGCTTGCTTGMTTGATTGATTGATTGATTGATTGATTGATTAAAATCATTGATTGGACTTGATTGGTTGATCGATTGATTGCTTAAATGATTGATTGATTGGACTTGATTGAATTCATTGATTGAATTCCTTGATTAAACTCATTGATTGGTTGATTGATTGATTGATTTGTTGATTGATTGATTGATTTGTTGATTGATTGATTGATTTGCTGGTTGGTTCATCCATTTATTACTGACCATTACTGTATGTGATTGTTGTATTTAAAAGTAAACAGTCTTACGTATTCGATTGATTGTGCTTATAGTTGTTGGACATCGGGGAATGGAAGGGCTGTGCAGTGCGTGACGATGACTGTAACGCCAACTCGTCACGCTGCGCTACCCTGGGAAAGATACTCGACAGAAGAGGTCTTCAGCTGAGGAAGTGTCTTATAGACTGCTGTCAAGGTGACCTTTGCAATAGCTTCCTACCGACCTCTGGACCAAATATCACAGCATATGCCATATCACAAGCTCATATTGGATGCAAGCTGTCCCAGCTATCCCTGATTATGACATTGATTTCCTACTGGATGAAAGACTAACAAATTAACCAATTAAATCAAACTAACTTAATCTGCATCAAGCAGGGGACGGGCGAAAAACAACTACAGCATTGAAAAATTAGATGACAAAAAGCATGATAATGTACATCTCTCTCTCCTACCAAACCAGAACTTATTAACAAAAACAGTTAATTAAATAAAACTTCAARGAATGTGTGAAACATGAAGAATTTAAGCACTTTGCCGCCATCTGCATAAGCTAAACGGGATGGACAAAACATTTTTGACTAGAATGCATAGTATAGGTTATAGCCCACCAAAATGACTGAAAATCATCGATTTTTGATGAAAATGCATGGGCTATAGCCCACCAAAATGGCCAAAAATGACCGATTTTTGATGAAAATCCATGGGCTATAGCCCACCAAAATGGCCAAAAATGACCGATTTTTGATGAAGATGCATGGGCTATAGCCCACCAAAATGGCCAAAAATGACCGATTTTTGATCAAAATGCATGGGCTATAGCCCACCAAAATGGCCAAAAATGACCGATTTTTGATGAAAATGCATGGGCTATAGCCCACCAAAATGGCCAAAAATGACCGATTTTTGATGAAAATGCATGGGCTATAGCCCACCAAAATGGCCAAAAATGGTCGATTTTTGATGAAAATGCATGGACTATAGCCCACCAAGAGMATTATTTAAAAGAGAATCCGTTGCAGAGAAAAGGTAGTTAAAACTGCACAAGAAGCTAGCAACTATTTGCGTTTATTTAAATATAAAAACGTGTTTACTCTAGTTGATCCTTTAAAATAGCAAAGAAAACACTCCAATGATYACCACCCACAAATATACATGTACAAACGTCACTGTCCCTACTCCCCCACGGGCACCTTTGACTGGTCCGGTCTTTTCAGGAGGGCGTAACGTTGCATTTGGCAGCAATGGGCAGAGATCTCTTGAACAACACATGATATCACACTTCTTTAACGTGTATTTTCCCATTTCAAGTGCAAAATGACGGGGACATGTTTTCTGTTGACATTCTGTTTCTTTAGCACATCCAAGCTGGTATCCTGTGATGGTCTCTTTCATGATATCGATGTGGATCTKAACKGTAGTGTTRCTACATCGATTGTAATCACTACTACACTTCACAACACTTACACTTGTCATACAGTCAGCCATTGAATCGTACGAGAAGCATTTTAAACAGCGCAATGTCAGAACTAAAGAAAATACAAAATGAAATAAAGGGAGGAAGGGAAATGGGAAGAGAAAGACTGCAAGGGAAAGGGAATTAAAAACAGGAATGAGCAAACTAATTCAAATAAAAAACACACAMAAAAAAAATGAAAAAGAACTAAAAATTAATCAATCAAAAAGGAACAAATTACTTGTAAGAGAGGGGAGAGTTAGTAAATATTTGCTAATGACGTCAACCAATGTTTTTGAGTACTAGGGAGGGGAGGATTCCAAACATTTTCGCATAATAAAAGAAAAACACATCTTTTGTTTTAATTACCCTCGGTGAGTCCAAGATAAATAAWGATCGATTTTGCTAGTGATATTTGCCTGCTAATATTCAAATAAAAGGCATCTTCCTCCATGCAAAATAGATACGAGCTATATTTCCTCGATGTTGTACCGAAATAGAAAACAACAGGGTTGAAATTTAACCATCTTAATGCCGTGGATTTGGTCGTACAAAACGAGTCGCACAAACACTCTGATATAAGTCTGTCTTATTATAAATGTTAAAATACAAGCAATGTCGTGAGTTTTGCCGTCGACAGGTAGTCAGTGTGTTGTTGATATGATTGTTGTTTGGTTCGTAACCACCCCCAAGGGAGACAGAATAACGAGTGAGAGTTGCACGACSTACAATCATTAATTGTACAAATTTCCTTTGAAAACGTATGCAAATAGCAACAAGAAAACAGCTGGAAACTTGTGATTCCTACCTTGGTTGATTCCCATKAAGCTGATGCATAAGACCAAGAAAAACCTCACGAAATCCATGATCCCTAGTTTACTCGTATTACTGCGAATTTAACTTTCACCGTTCAAGCGTAGAGTAGAAATTCACAGCGAAACTTAAGAATGATGTCTGTTATGATAGCCAATATCAACGTCTGATCACATCTCAACACATATGCTTGTTAACATCTCATTGTAGGAAGTTCAACGTTTAACAGTAGTGTATTCAATGTTGTTTGCCCTAACACGACCCAAGTATGGCACGCTTATCTACTATAGTGACCACGGCTGCTATTGTTATCGTCAAGTGATGTAACATCTGTCATCAAAGATATTCAACTAAAGCAAAAACAAACTCTAACATTCAAAGTATAAATAGAAAAAAAAAAGAATAGAAATGAATAAAAGGTGGAAAAAGCGTTGTCAGTAAGATTTCAACGAGTCCATTGACCTCTTGTACTAGTAATAGTGCGAACAGGAATGTCACTATGTATTTAAGAGGCTGTAAGGTRATGGATCCTTGAGATATGAAATACCAACGCCTGATACATTGAACAATTAATATAAACTCCTACTCAAAATTGAATATTTACAAATATAACACGATTAAAGAACTTGACCTGCTACAATCCTTGTTAATGGTGTTGAAATGATCTATTAATAATTGTCTTCTCAAAAACCTACGAMTTTTACGTCAACTATTATAATAATAGTTCTAATGCATTCGTCTGATTCTATCCATGTGGTCTGCGACCATCGTATCACAACAGATTTTATTCTTTCCGTGAAATTTTACAGTCGTCGATATTATGACCTATATTATCAAAGCTTATAGCACTGATGTGAATGTTTCTTGTACGCCACCTATACTATTTAAATTTAAACGTCGTCTTTGTCATGCACGAATCACGAACGACTTCTATTAAAAAAGTTGGAAAAAGAAAACTGCGTTAGTTTCTCCCATGAGATTTGGTAAGCATTATTTMTAAAAAAGCTTATTTAGCGATAAACGTCTAACAGATAAAGACAAACTCATAACCGACCTCTCTCTTGCTGTTTTAAGGGGCGCGTGACTCTGYACTTCCCGCAAACCCCTTCGAGCTTAGAGACAACATAGTAACAAGTAGGTACGAGTTAGAGCTACAAAGGAAATATTTTTTAAAAGACTATACCATTACGCCAAAACTATGTTGCAATCATTGAAACGTATCTTCATACTGTTTAGTAAACAGTGAATTTTAGTTAGCTACCAGGAGAGGATTTTGGGYATGTCACCCTGTCAGACTCAACGAAACCTACAAAGTCTTTAATGTCTTTTTTGATTAAGTTGTAGTAAAAGCTAACTGGTAGCATTTCAAATAGTTCTYTRTTAGAGTACTTCCAGATCAACCACCAGGCTCACCTACATGTCTCCATYRTACKGTAACCMACACAAAAAGCAACCAGCAGAAGGCACCATATTGAGCTTGTCAATCGAGCACCTACTCCTTGTCCYTTATTGACATTTCCAGTGTTATTATTAGTGTGGATCGACGACGAAATCTTTGTCCCAGGCCACCCCGGTCTTTTGTTACATTCAGCCTTAAGATTAGCGTCACAGCAATCTATGTCACATGTCTTGATGTGAGCGACGTTTTTGCGGAACCTTTTTTTGCAAATGGGCATTGTGGCTGTGCATCAAGTAAACAAATGATTAATTTTTACTCTTGGTGTTACAAAAAAAAAAAACCGTTATTAAGACCATTAAGGGTGAACAATTGAAGTATGACCCTCGAGCTCTACTTCGGGAAACTCAGCGTCGTTGGAACCACAAGTCATTTGTGCTTCACGAGGCCCCAAAACAACAACAACAATGACAACAACAACGTAGAACAACAACAACAATGACAAGAACAACATAGGACAACAACAACATCGAACAACAGCAATAAAACAATGACAACAACAATAATGATAATAACAATGACAACAACAACAATGACAACAACAACAACAATGACAACAACAACATTAGGACAACAACAATACAACAGTGACACCAATATAGAAC